CTTTCCCTATTTGTTGCAATAAATATTAAGAGCTTTTTCTCCCCACTGGCAGTTCACTAGTGTTGTTCTTTTTGGGCTTGGGGACACATGAGTCATGTTTGTGGTATGTAAGCAAAAGTAGCTTGTCCTATTTTAACATCTGATAGGGCATGTACAGAGAAAGAGACAGAGGATTTGCGTTTTTCCCATTTCTTTTGGTATCCCTTGCTCAATTTGGTGCTGTGCTAAAAGTATGCTTGTAAACATTTTCTTTTTAATAAATACTTTATAACTTTTGATGCTGGTTTTGGCTCTCTGTACCACATAGACCTCCACCATCTTGGACATACTATTTTAAAAGGCGCACTGGGGGGAGGCAGGCAGTTTACAAGTGGCTATTCCTCCAGGGGTGCGCAAGGCAGTAAATGGCCCCCGTGGTGATCAGGCGCTGGGCAACGGGAGACACAGAGGCAAGGCCTCAGAACTTGGAAGGGAAGCCTGATCCTCCCACTGGGCAATTCCATACAATGGCCAGGTGGTGGCAGCGAGCTACCCGATGGTGGAAGAAAAGCCTCTCCGGAGATTGAGAAAAACCTAGGAGGGCAGGGTGGAATAGGGCCTGCAAGTCAGAGCAGGCGTGTTCCACCACACCATTTGAGATCACATACATTTAAACATTGGAATGAATGCCCCATTAGCATATCCCTTGGTGTGTGCAGCTGAAACTGTAACTGCAGGGCTGTTTGACTGGCCCAGGTGGAGTGGCTCACCCACTCCTTGGGGAACCATGTGCAGTTCCCTGAGCCCTGCCTGCCCCCCACTGCATTAGCTGGTCCTGGCCAATGTTCCCTCTAAGCCGCACCGTCTTGTGAGCAAAAATTCTACTTTGTGAGCTACTGGCATTAAAGTTGTGAGCGAGTGATTGGGCTACTGCATAAATCAGTTTGCCCTGGAGCCCTCCTTCCTGAGCCAAGACAAAAATATGTGAGCTGGAGGCTAAAAAACTGTGAGCTAGCTCACACTAACTCAGCTTAGAGGGAACACTGGTCCTGGCCCCAGGAACTTCTGATGGTGGCTGCTGCCCGCACAAAGGTCCTGTCTTGAGCCCACTTTCCTGCTGCGCTGCTACCAGCTGAGATGGAAAGTGTCCCAGAATGGATTTACCACCCCCACCCCCGCATGTGGTGGAGATGTGGTAGGGCTGTAAAATTTTGGAAAACAGTAACAATTATGTTAGCGAAAGGGATAGATGATGGTGTTATTGGTACTCCAGAACTTTTCCTGTTCACGTATGTAGTTCCTATCCCAAAGAAATGTAGAACATTTCTGGGATACATTATAACTGGTGTACATTATATTTGGGTACATTATATCAGGCGGAGACTGACCAAGAGATAACTCAATGAAAATGTCGAGACAGTGTGTATTGCAATAAAAAAAGACCAATGCTATGCTGGGGATTATTAGGAAGGGAACTGAAAACAAATCAGCCAGTATTATAATGCCCTTGTATAAATCGATGGTGTGACCTCATTTGGAATACTGTGTACAATTCTGGTCACCACACCTCAGAAAGGATATTATGGCTTTGGAAAAAGTGCAGAAAAGAGCAACTAGATTGATAAAAGGGTCAGTAGAGGGTGGTACACAGTGGGGTACCGCAGGGATCAGTACTTGGTCCACTGCTTTTTAACTTGTTCATTAATGATTTGGAGTTGGGAGTAAGCAGTGAAGTGGTTAAATTTGTGGATGATACGAAGTTGTTCAGGGTGGTGAAAACCAGTGAGGATTGTGAGGCACTCCAAAGGGATCTGTCGAGGATGGGCAAGTGGGCGTCAACGTGGCAAATGGGGTTCAATGTGGCCAAGTGCAAAGTGATGCACATTGGAGCCAAAAATCCTAACTATAAATACACATTGATGGGATCTGAACTGGCAGAGACTGATCAAGAGAGAGATCTTGGAGTCGTAGTAGATAACTCACTGAAAATGTCGAGACAGTGTGTGACTGCAATAAAGAAGGCCAATGCTATGCTGGGGATTATTAGGAAGGGTATTGAAAACAGATCAGCCGATATCATAATGCCCCTGTATAAATCGGTGGTATGACCCCATTTGGAGTACTGTGTACAGTTCTGGTCACCACACCTCAAAAAGGATATTATAGCATTGGGAAAAGTGCAGAAAACGGCAACTAGATTGATAAAAGGGTTAGAACCCTTTCCCTATGAAGAAAGGTTAAAGCGCTTGGGGCTCTTTAGCTTGAAGAAACGACAACTGAGGGGTGACATGATCGAGGTTTACAAGATTATTCATGGGATAGAGCAGGTAGAGAAAGAGGTACTTTCCTCCCTTTCTCACAATACAAGAACTCGTGGGCACTCCATGAAATTGCTGAGCATTCGGGTTAGAATGGATAAAAGGAAGTACTTCTTCACCCAAAGAGTGATTAACGCATGGAATTCACTGCCACAGGAGGTGGTGGCAGCTACAAGCATGGACGGCTTCAAGAGGGAACTGGATAAGCATATGGAGCAGAGGTCCATCAGTGGCTATTAGCCACAAGGTGACAGATAGGAACTCTTGGTCTGGGGCAAGTGATGCTCTGTCTTCTTGGTGCTTGGGGGGGTCAATAGGGGGAGGGGCTTCTAGTGTCCTGGCCCCACTGGTGGTCCTGATGACACCTGGTATTTTGGGCCATTGTGTGACAGAGTGTTGGACTGGATGGGCCCTTGGCCTGATCCAACACTGGCTTCTCTTATGTTCTTATCTGCTGCAAGGTTAGTGTTTGTTAGATTTTGGAAGCAAAAGAATTCCAATGCTTAGATCTTTTGTAGATAAAATTTAGAATTTTATATGTATATAAAGTTATCCGCACCACAGGAAAATTAAGCCTCTACAAACATTAATCTTATTTGGTCTCAAGCCCATATGGAACAGTTAATGTGATGCGATTTTACTTTATACCTAGAAGATTCATTTTTTTACCTCTGTACATCTTGACTGCTATAAAACCATGTATGAATACCTATCTCTGGAAAATCTTAAGTTGCATTATATGAGCAAAACTACAGAAGGGACTGTGCCAGTGAGGTGCTAGTGTCAGTCTTTTGTGGGCAGTCTTGATAGGTTAGTGCTGCTAGAGCAAGAAAGTCCCGCCCCACACAAGTCTTGAGGGAGCCCGCTGGTCCCTCTGTGCTAAGTTCGCAGGGATGGGCAGAGGGGGCACTGGCTATCTAGGAGAACTGAACGCCACTCAACCCTGCTGGCTGCATCCTGTGGGCACCAAGCTTGTCAGAAAGTTGGTGGGGACCACAGTAAATCAGAGCTTATTGAAATGGAAGGATTTCCCCCTGGAAGATCAGGAGGACTGGCAAGCAACCAGGCTTCCCTTAGGCAGCGTGTGGTTCCCTTCCTTCTTCCCAGGAGATGTGAGAGAGAGGTATTCTGTTGGGCTCTGCCTCCGGGGGCAGCTATTTTGAGGTCTTTAAAAGACTGTGGACCCCTGGTTACCTCAGGCCATTCTTAGCATGACGCGCAGCCACACACAACTCAGTGATCTGTGCGCAGTTCTTAATGCAGTCCTGACGAGGAGGAGGTGGGAGCGGGAGCAGGCACAGGAAGTCCCCCGTGAATATCTCGCTATGCAGCTCTCGGGAGAGGCGGTCTTGCTGACCAGCCCCAGGCCTTTCACGGAGCAGGCAGCCCGTTCTGGCTGCTCTTGGCTGGATCACAAGCTCTCCCGGCTATTTAAAGGCAGTTACCTGAATGTTTGCCTGCCTTTTGCTTTTCCAGTTGCCGCCGTGTGATGCTGTCACGTAATCTTTTCAAGTTGTCCTGAAAATGCAAAATAGTGTTTTCAGGAACTTGGATAAATGCGTATCTCTCTTCACAAGTGCTTACCAAATTGGTAAGATCGAGCTAAGTTCAGGAAAGATAAGTGACTTGGGCAGCACCATGCAGGTTTTTAGAAGAGCAATTCTGGTGGTCAAGTAGGAAGATCCGACGTAGCAGGTTATAAGCTGCTCCCCAAGGCCCCCAGTCCACCTTTTATTTCTTTGAAGGTAACAGCGTTCCATGCACCTTGGCGTTTAGTTATGCTGGCCACATGACCGAGGAAACGTCTTCGGACAGCGCTGGCTCTTCGGAGATGAGCAACACCCGCTACAGTCAGATTCGACTAGCTTTCGAGCAAGGGAAACCTTTACCTTTACTTTACCCACCCTTTCCTTTTGGGTCAAGGCAGTTCTTCTGAACGTAGAGATCTATTCCTGCCCCTTATGCTTTTAAATGTATTTATTTATTTAGAACATTATTATGAGTTTTTACCTAATTCGGGTCCTTAAGGTGATGAACAACTGAAACCATTAAAACAGCTTTTTAAAAACACACATCTTAAAATCAATCAAAAGCAACAACACAGCAAAACACGTGAAATGCATCGTGACTAGTCGTCTCCCAGTGTCTCCTCTATATACTGTTGGGTGTTACAAGTTAAAAACACTTCAGTATTTACAGGGTTAATGTTTGTTAAGTCACATGTTTGTTTGTAACCAATCTGCTTAGACAATAGGATGCCCAGGAACTTTGGAGCTAGTTTGCTGGTCTGATTGGAAACCAAGGTGTCAAGCATTAGCATTTTATGGCTTCTCTTCCCGTTCTTTGTTCTGACTAGAGAAGGAGACGCCATTCCGGCTCTTCCTGTTTTACCCTTTAGCTGTAAGGATGTAGGCATATTTGCTCTTTGTTATTTTCATATCCTGTGTACCTTTTCCCCATGTTAGCTTTATAGTAAACTTTTATATTTTAATACACACCATGGACTCAGTCTCTTAATACTCTGCTGACTGACTAACTTAAAAAGAATCCCATCATATACAGATACTGGACCTGTTTCCTGCTTGTGGGGGAGCCCCTTCCCCTCAAAAAAATGCTTGTGCAGCTGCTCAGGTCTGCCAGTTTTGAACACCTATCCAAGCCCAGGAGACGTTTTGCAGTCACATTTGTTGTAGCTAATGGGGGGCCATTCTGCATGCGCCTGATGACTACTTTCCCCCACCATTCTTGGTCACCAAGAAGGGCATGTGGTGGCCCTTTGTTAACCTGTAGTGCATTTGCGCACTGACCTGGGTGGCCCAGGGAAGCCGAATCTTGTCAGGTCTCAGAAGCTCAGCAGGGTCGGCCCTGGTTAGTCCTTGGATGGGAGACCGCTCAGGAAGTCCAGGGTTGCTACACGGAGGCAGGCAAGGGCCAGCCACCTCCAAAGGTCTCTTGCCTTGAAAACCCCACCAGGGGTCACCATACGTCAGCTGCAACTTGATGGCATTATTTGTACTTTGCTCTTTAAAAACACTTTCCATAGAGACTACTGGCAAAGTGTTTCCTGTCTAAGCTGAGACACCAGAGAGGTAGACAAAGACCTGTGCGTGTGTGGGAGATTCAACACCGACGTCTATGCCCGGAAGCACTTTCTGACCACACACCTGCTGGAAACGAAATGAGTCTGATCTCTTTTTCTGGTTCAGCTGCCACTCTTTGAAATGCAGGACAGCTTCATCCACAGTCAGCATCCCCAGCTTCACTTGCTCCTGTAGCGTGATCAGCTGCCTTTGCCCTGGAGTCTTCATCCCAGCAAATGGATCGTATATACTGGGCTGGGAATGAACCCGCTGACATCCGGCTGCTGACTCTGGGAAAGAAGAGTCCCCAAGCCACTAGTAAACATGCACTGTTTGTGTTCCTTGTATAATCTTGATCTACAGTTTAATATCCTTCTATTATTGGCCTTCTACCTCTACACAGCTAACCCTGGAAGACCCCAAGTAAAGCTAATAGTAGGAGCAGAATAGTAGGGGATGAGGTCTACAACATTAAGTTGTCTGAAGAAACTCTTCCCTGTCCTCACAGGGATCCATTTGTTACCTAGGAAGAGGCACAAGACCTTCTGTAATTCAAGAGCAGAAACCAGGAAGAAAGAAGGGTTAGGAGAAAGTTTTGTCAAGCAGGTAAAAGTATCGTGAAGATTAACAAGAATACGTTGGACATGAAAGAAAAAATGAACAGTCTTGCTACTGTCCAGCACACCAAACAACTAACCCCTGAATTACATAGTTGCTTTTGCAGACAGAGCTTTTTCACTATGACGAAAGTAACCCCCCCCCCCGCAACAAGTCTACTGGGCCATGCACGGAACACCCTAATTCTGACTCACCTTTCCTAAGGTTCTCTGAAGACACATAGAGATTCCCAGGCTTCTCTCGGTCTTTCCCTGCAAATACTGGACAAAGACAAGTTATTCAAGACATGAGTCAATGCTGCAGAATCATACCAGCCTTCAAGCCCACCAAAGTCAAGGGAATGAACTAGTCGGCTTGTTGTGGACCAGTGGTGAACCTCAGTCCCCCAACTGTGCAGCCCACGGACTGCAGAGTATGACAGATGGGCTAATCATTGCATGAGGTCACAGTCTGACGGCCAGGACTAGGGCAAATGAGATCACTACTGCAGCCCATGGAAATCAAAACTACAGAACATCTAGGAAGCTGAAGGGTCTAAAGGAGAAAGGAGCCGGGCATTTTGTCCTGGATCCCATCTAGCAAATCGTGCAAGAAAACCACAAGACCTCCAAATATGAATCAGTCCAAACTCAACATCATCAATGTGTTTGAAGGGACTCTTCCCTGCCCTCGTGGTGATTCGTTGTTAAGATGACAAAGAGGCACGGAGAACCGCACAATAAGGCATAGCAGGTGCTAAGCAACCGCCTAAGCACCAAAACCCACATCAGCGATAAGTCACAACTGAGCCAATATCCCCTCTAAGCTGTGGAGTCTCGTGAGCCAAAATTCTGCTTCATGAACCAAAAGACCTACTAGGATTAAAGTTGTGAGCAAGCCTACATTAAAAAAAAATATTATTTCAGCAAAACATACTCTCCGTCACAAACAAACTCCACGCACCCAAACCAAAGGCTCTTTCCCATGTCAAAAGCCCCTCACAGGACGATTTTGTGGCAGGGTCACAAGATCTGAAGATACAGCGAAGGATAAAAGAGCTTTGCAGCACATCATCCACCTGGGGCACACATACAGGTGATTTATGCTGTAGCAGATCCAGGGTCATTTCCTGCTCACAACAGAAACCCCAATTCAACCAAGGGCAACAACCAGGCAACCAAGAACAAAAGGTTAATCCCGCATTTCAAGCTAAACAATCAGCACCAGGGCTATTTTTGGGACAGGAACGCACAGGAACGGAGTTCCGGCTGGCTCCCAAGTTGGCCACGCCCAGCAGGAACTCATTAGCATAACAGGCCACAGCCAACAGCAGGAACTTATTAGGATTGGCTACATTAGGGGTGTGTGGCCTAACATGCAAAGGAGTTCCTGCTACAAAAAAAGGCCCTGGGTTTGGACAACAAACAAGGTAGACAGAATAACAAGCAAAAGGTGGGTGTGGCTGGATAACCACACTTCTGGTAACATGGGGGTGCGGCCTAATGTGCTAATGAGCTGTGCTGGCAGGGGTGTGGACTAATATGCTAATGAGTTCCTGGTGTTGGGTGTGGCCTATTATGCTAATGAGTTCCTGCTGTTGGGTGTGGCCTATTATGCTAATGAGTTCCTGCTGGGCTTTTTCTACAAAAAGAGCCCTCAGCACACATCATAAAGTAAAGTTTAGGATGAAGGTGGCTGTACAACTGTTCCATAGCAGTATTCCTCACCATTGTGGTCAACCCTAAACGTATCTACTTGAGTGGAAGTATCATGACGACTCCAGGGGAACTCATGCAACAGCCCCTCGCAAGCAGGAGTCATGAGGGCTTCTCCCCCAGCCCCTCCATTTTGCAGCCAGATGGTTCTTGGGCCTTATAAAGTCACCTTTATAAATGTAGGATTCCTTGTCCTGCTGCTTGGTGGGGTCAGGTCTCGGCACAGGAACTGGAGGTCTGTTGAGCAGTTCGGAAGGAGAGCTGTTCTGCTCCACGGTGTGATACACATCTTCTTCATCATCACACAGGTGGTAGATATCACCTTTGTATTCCGGATCCACCACGCTTACACCTAGGAAGCAAATTACTACTAGAAGGAAAGCCCTGCAGAGGTTGGCCTATCGGTTGCTGGCCTGAATGAGCTTGTGGAGGATTGGCATAGCTGACTCTCTACAGCCATCAACGAGATCGCTCCCCGGCACCCTCGGCACTCCCGCTCTAGGCTGGCCCCCTGGTACACCCAGGAGTTGTGACTCATGAAGCGGAAGCTGAGATGGCTAGAGAGACGGTGGCGCCGTGCTCGCAATGAGGCAACAAGTGCATCCTATAGGACGTTTATGAGATCCTATGAGATGGCAGTCAAAGCCGCAAAGAGAGAGTTCTATGCAGCTACGATTGCGTCCACGAGCTCACACCCAGCCCAATTGTTTAGAACAATTCGGTCTTTAACAGCTCTGCCACAGGGCAGACCAAATGCTAGGGAATTGGACATTGGCTGCGAGGCATTTGCGAGCTATTCCGCGGATAAAGTCTTGGCGCTCTGCCACAACCTCCCTGCCACAGTTGGTACAGTGAGCAAACGCAAGGCCCCTTGCATGTCTTCGATTTGGGGGTTGGATTGCTTCAGCCCGCTCAGCCTGGAGGAAGTCGACAGGTTGCTCGTGTCTGTATGCCCAACCACATGCAGCCTCGTGCCCTTCCTGGCTCATTAAAGCGGGCCACGGGGGGTTTCGAGGTGCCCTACGGGAGATTGTCAACAAGTCCCTCTCTGAGGGGCGGTTCTCGGGAGCACTCAAGGAAGCGATGGCCCGTCCTCTCTGGAAAAAACCAACTCTGGATCCGGCCGAATTGGCCAACTATCGTCCGGTTTCCAATTTGCCCTGTTTGGGCAAATTAATCGAGAGGGTGATGACAATACAGTTACAGGGCTTCTTGGATGACGCTTCCGTCCTAGACTCCTTCCAGTCTGGCTGGCATGGGATGGAGACCGCGCTGGTCGCCCTTACAGACGACCTCCCGAAGCATCTGGATCGAGGTGGTTCGGCACTATTGATGTTGTTAGACCCGTCGGCAGCGTTCAACACGGTCGGCCACCAGTTGCTGACCCACCGCCTCGCCGACGTGGGGATACAGGGGCTTGCCTTACAATGGGTTGCTTCTCTTCTCCAGGGTCGGGGACAAAGGGTGGTGCTAGGGGAACAGCAGTCCTGGAGTCACCTGCTTGAGTGTGGTGTGCCTCAGGGGGCGGTGCTTTCCCCGATGCTGTTTAACATCTACATGCACCCCCTTGCCCAGATTGCTCGGAGGTATGGGCTGGGATGTCACCAGTATGCAGATGACACCCGGCTCTATCTGATGTGGGCCGGCCGGTCAGACTCCAGTCCGGAAGATCTGAACTGGGCATTGCAAGCCGTGGCTGGTTGGCTTATACTGAGCCGGCTGAAGCTAAACCCGGTGAAGACAGAGGTCCTGCACCTGAGTTGGGGCGGCTTGGGGATGGGGATCCCTCTCCCGACCTTCGACGGGGCACCATTGGTGCCAGTGCTGGGGGTGAGGAGTTTGGGAGTGCTCCTGGATCCCTCCTTACCTATGGAGGCCTAGGTGGCAGCCACTGTTAAGTTGGCCTTTTACCACCTCCAGCTGATTCAGCAGTTGGTTCCCTTCCTCGACCGCAATCAGGCTGCCCACCCTGGATAGTGCAGAGTACTTGTGCCGTTCCAGAAGGTGAGGAGCGTGGGGGTGATCCTGGATGCCGCGCCTTCTCTGGAGGCCCAGGTCACCCACAGGGGCCAGATCTGCCTTTTACCACCTTCGCCACACCTGGCAGCTGTCTCCCTAGGACAGCTCCCCCCGGGGATTTTGCTCATTAATATGTCAACCTGCCTGTATGATTCTCTTCTGTCATTTGGACTGTCAGAGAACGGACCAAGGGAGAAGGCGAGAGAAAGTTAAAACAGTCCTTGAAATGTTTTCTGGGGATGGTGCTGCAACATCAGAGCAATCGGGGTTGAAACTGCTGCTTGTGGAGATAGTTAAGATGACTGGACCAGCCTCACAATACGTAGGAGCAAAAACGCCACCATTCCTACCTTGATCAGCTCAAGGACTCCTGGGGCTAAACACACACTTTGATTTGCCCCCTTCAAAAGCGAGGCCTCAAAAGGTTAGAACAGGCACAAACTGGAACACACTCTGGACCGGCTACGTATGAGGTTGGCGGGCTCTCCTTGCCTGGGGTTGGATGAGAAGGTTAAAAAAACCCACCCATTTTCTTTCCTCACTTGTGCTCACCTTCCAAGAACCTGCGCATCATGTAGTCCTTTGTCATCCGAGGGTTGCTGGCATCCGACTGGAGCATTTCTACATCTAGAAAATTGAAATATATTCACTGCATTATTTCAAAAGAATTATTTTCATTTTATATGTTTCATTTTATATGTCAATAGCAGTTGACATTAATAAGCTTGTTAACCAACGTTTAAGCACTGTTTGTGACAATATGAAAATTGGCCTAGAATTTCAATTCCCCCCCCCCATTGCTACCTTCCAGAGCATATCAGATCTATATTTTCTTAATTTATATCTCCGTTTTCTCTCCTTTGGGGACCCAGAGCATCTTACATTGTTCTCCTCCACTGTATCCTCACAACAACCCTGCAAGGGAAGTTAAGCCGAGAGTGTATGAGTGGCCCAAGGCCACCCAGTGAGCTCCCATGGCACTCCGACCGGGGGGCCCCACATCTCAACCAAGGGGCCCCAGCACGGTACCCCCGGGCCCCACGGTCTCCGCCAAGACCTCTCCTAGCACTCAGGAAGTGTTTTCTAAGGAAGTGAGAGGGGCAATGTGGGGCTTTTGCCCAGGAAGGTTTCTGAGGGGCCGTGCATATTTTTAAGAACACAGCACAAGGATCTTCACAGTGTGACTGAGCTCCGGCAGCCATTTTGTGGCCGTGTCAGAATCCCAAAGGTGCCCGGAAGGCTGGAAAAGGTTGGGGGTCCATGTTCTAAACACGCCTGGCTTCTACCGGACTCAGTTCAGAAAGCTGCCTCCAATAATCTGTGTCTCTGCAGCAAATCGCATACAAGTTGTAAGAAGTGTTACCCACACATTTTTAATCTGAATCAGGACTCTGTCCCAACCGGTAAATAATTAATTAACACTTACTTGGAGTCAAGCTTCAGTAACAACAATAAAATCAACCTTATCAGTTTCTCATATTTCACGACCCTGTGCATTCTTTAAAAGCTTGCCCGATCGTCTTCTAGAAGGCTGACCCCTCATGAAAGACCACTGGAACGCACGGCGACACATCACACGGGAGAGTCACACTTCAAAACAGTTGCACTCCCCACATGAATCACGTTACCCACAGAGAAGATCTCCATACCAGGTCTACACATTCATGATAGTTATATGGAGACTCTCTACATAGTCTGGGCAAACCATATAATAAGGAGTAAAGGTTGATTAAAATGTGAAATTCGCTGCCAGATGTTGTAGTGATGACCACAGGAATAAACAGCTTTAAAGGGGGATTAGACAGATTCATGGAGGAGAGGTCTTATCAGTGGCTGCTAGCCATGGTGGCTGAGGGGAACCTCCACCTTCAGAGGCACTAAAGCCTCTGAATCCCAGAGCCAGGAGGAAACATCAGGGGAAGGCCTCGGCCTCTCTGCCCTGTTGTTGTCCCTCCAGAGGAATTGGTTGGCCACTGTGTGAGACAGGAGGCTGGACTAGATTGCCCATTGGTCTGATCCAGCAGGGCTCTTCGTATGTTCTTATGGAGGGGAGAGCTATTATGGCCTGTCTGGTTCCTGTCACCCTCTCCTGGTGCTTTGCCAGGCAGAGTTCCAGTTTCAAGTGTACATACCAGGTGTTGGGGACATGCAAGAGGTTGGGGCTTACGCCAGTGTCTCATTCACTCTGCAGTCTATTCGTCTGTGGTCCTGAACTCCTAGAGATGGTCTCAGACTTGGCACTGAGGTCCCTGCAGTTTTAGTACTTGGAGACTTCCCATCCTGAGGCCCCCCTGGTAAGCTTGACTGGGGACATGTTGGCCTCCATAGCTACTATGGGAGTATCCCAGAACATATTAGATTCCATCCCTATGGCAGGTCTTATGCTCATTTTGGTTTTCTGCACTGAGCAAGTGCAATGTCATTCAGGAATGGAAGAAACCCCCAAGATCCCAAACAATGAGATGGTGAGCAATGTTCCCTCTAAGCTGTGGAGTTTTGTGAGCAAAAATTCTGTTTTGTGAGCTACCGGCATTAAAGTTGTGAGTGAGCAATTTGGCTATTGCATAAATCAGTTTGCTCTGGAGCCATCCTTCCTGAGCTAAGACAAAAAGGTGTGAGCCGGAGGCTAAAAAACTGTGAGCTAGCTCGCACCAACTCAGCTTAGAGGGAACACTGATGGGGAGGTATGACTAACGGGTACTTGAACACATGCATCTGCCTTGTACTGGTCCATCAGAGTCCGTATTCTCTGCTTTGACTGGCAACAACTCTCCAAGGTCTCAGGAACCTATGACTCCATCCTTAACTGGATATGCCAAGGGCTGAACTTTGGACCTTCAGCAGGCAAAGCAGACACTGTGACGCTTGACCACACACCCCACACACCTGAAACCTGTGCAGGGGGACTGATTAGGATGGGTCCTCTTTTGGAGGCAGACGGCTCTCTCTGTATAGAGGAGGGGAACAAACCTTCTTTACAGGCTACACTTGGACAGAGCACACAGGCTCTCCCCCACAGCAAAAGACCCTCTAGGGATGTTAGTTCAGAAGCACCCAGTGGGATTTATTTCCCAGAAAGCTTCTTTAGGGACTGCAGCACTCAGTCAGCAAAGGTCCCTTTCCAAAGAGCCAGTTTGGTGTTGTGGTTAAGTGTGCGGACTCTAATCTGGGAGAACCGGGTTTGATCCCTTACTCCTCCACTTGCACCTGCTGATGTGACCTTGGGTCAGTCACAAGCTCTGGCACAGCTGTCCTTGAAAAAGAGCAGTTTCTGTCAAGAGCTCTCTCAGCCCCACCCACCTCACAGGGTGTCTGTTGTGGGGAGGGGGAGGGAAAGGAGTTTTTCAGCCGCTCTAAGTGAAGGGCGGGGTATAAATCCAATCTCTTCTTCTTCTTCTTGCAGCCAGCTACTTCCTCTACACAGTGAAAGGCCGGCCTGGATGAATCACAAGCGGGAATTAAGATTGCTGGGGAAAACATCAACAGCCTCAGATATGCAGACGATACCACTCTGATGGCAGAAAGTGAAGAGGACCTCAAGAGCCTCTTGCTCAGGATAAAAGAGGAGAGCGCAAAAGTGGGCTTGAAGCTCAACATCAAAAAAACTAAGATCATGGCATCTGGCCCCATCAGTCCTTGGCAAATAGAAGGGGAAGTCGTGGAAGTAGTGACAGACTTCACATTCCTGGGATCCCAGATCACCGCAGACGGTGACTGCAGCCATGAAATTAAAAGACGCCTGCTCCTTGGGAGGAAAGCGATGGTGAACCTAAACAGCATGATAAAAAGTAGAGACATCACCCTGCCAACAAAAGTCCGCATGGTCAAAGCAATGGTATTCCCAGTAGTCATGTATGGCTGCGAGAGTTGGACTGTAAGGAAGGCCGAGCGCTGAAGAATAGATTCTTTTGAACTATGGTGCTGGAGAAGACTCTTGAGAGCCCCTTGGACTGCAAGAAGATCAAATCAGTCAATCCTAAAAGAAATCAACCCTGACTGTTCCCTGGAAGGCCAGATAATGAAACTGAAGCTCAAATACTTTGGCCACCCAATGAGAAGGGAGCACTCACTGGAGAAGACCCTGATGCTGGGAAAGATTGAAGGTCAAAGAAGATGGGGACGGCAAAGGATGAGATGGTTGGACAGTGTCATCGAGGCAACGAACATGAAATTGAGCAAACTCCGGTGGAAGGACGGCGGAAGACAGGAGAGCCTGGCGTGATGTGGTCCACAGGGTCGCGAAGAGTCGGACTCAACTGTGTGACTGAACAACAAAAATGAAGTGGCAATGTGTGCTGTGGTTCTGTCCGGGATGACATTACTGGTGGCTTGCAGTCCATCCGCATGTGGGATGTTGGTGTACAGAGCCTCAACATCCATAGTAGCTAGAGTTAGGGTTAGGGTTGTCCGGAAGTTTGTCAATGGACTGTATTTTTCTGAGGAAGTCAGTAGTGCCTCGTAAACAGCTGGGTGTGCTGATGGCACAGGGCCTGAGGATAGAGTCCATATATCCTGAGACTCCTACCGTGATTGTGCCAATTCCTGAAACAATGGGTTGTCCTGGTTACCTGGTCTGTGGAATTTGGGTAGTAGGTAGAGTGTTCCTGGCCGGAGTTCCTGGGTGTGTCCATATGGATACATTCTTGCATATCCACGGTCAGTATCTTTAATATTGCATTGAGTTCTCTTTTGTATTTCTGGGTTAGGGTGTGAGGGTTAGGGTTCTATAGAATGCTGTGTGAAGAAAATCTTGGGGCTACCAGCTTGCGTACCCTATGCAGCTATGTGCCTGGAGACAACCCAAAGACGGTTAATTACTATGGCATGTGGACCATAACCTTTAAATTTTGGCTGCACCTTCATTTTAGATGTGGCCCAAACAGTCTTGTGGTACACATGTTAACAGAATCACATCTATCGACTTGGTTGATTAATATAGGGGGGGGTGGAATTCTATAATTGGCTTTAGTTTTGCTGATTTGGTACTTCTGTCTGAGCAGAAGGCTTTTTCCTTACTCAGACAAAGACTCCTTGATATAGAGGCGCAAGATCTGAGAAGACTTGCGCACAGACATTGCTCTCCCTTGAGTATGGGACTCTCTTTCAGCCACGTTTCCTCAGGACATCTGGCAAGACTGATTCAGCCCCATCTTCGTAGGGCTTTCATGCTAGCTCGGTTTGACATCCTCCCCTCAGCTGTTTTATCGGGAAGGTGCAAGAAAATCCCCTATAAAGATAGACTGTGCCCATGTGGGATGGGGGAAATTGAATCTATTGGACATCTGCTTTTGTACTGGACTATAAGGAAGGCCGAGCGCCGAAGAATAGATTCTTTTGAACTATGGTGCTGGGGAAGACTCTTGAGAGTCCCTTGGACTGCAAGAAGATCAAATCAGTCAATCCTAAAGGAAATCAACCCTGACTGTTCCCTGGAAGGCCAGATAATGAAACTGAAGCTCAAATACTTTGGCCACCCAATGAGAAGGGAGCACTCACTGGAGAAGACCCTGATGCTGGGAAAGATCGAAGGTCAAAGAAGACGGGGATGGCAAAGGATGAGATGGTGAGACAGTGTCACAGATGCAATGAACATGAAGTTGAGCCAACTTCAGAGGACAGCAGAAGACAGGAAGGCCTGCCGTGATCTGGTCCATGGGGTCACGAAGAGTCAGACTCGACTGTGCGACTGAACAACAACTGTAAATTCCACTATGAGATCCGTGTTTCTTATATTGAACCTGTGATGGACCCCCTTTTGGGCCAATCTGATGAGTATAAAATTATTTCTTAATTGTCTTCTCATAATATAGAAATTCTTGAACCTGCAGGAAGTTTCTTTTATGAGGTATCTAGGAGGAGAGGCTCATATTAAGGCAATTCGGAATGTGCTACCACCACCACCACCCCCGGCTATCTTGAGGCTCTATGCTGCACGCTGTATTTTATCTCCTATGCCAATAAAGGTACTGTATTTGTTTGTCGAATGCTGTGCTGGAAAGTAGTCTCCCTGCCTCCTCTGTGGAGTTAGAGGCCTGTCCATGATCACGACTGCTCCTCCTTTGCCAGCTTCCTTGATTATGATGCCAGAATTATTTTTGAGGCTCTTTATGGCATCTCTTCCTGCATGGCTGAGATTCTGCGTTAAGGGATGCTAAGTATTCTGTGCACCCGGAGCAGCAAAAACAGGGAAATAACCCCCCCCCTGCTTCCCTCCCCCCCCCCCCCACGCCGCCGCCAGTGCTCTTTTGGCCTAGGAACCGAAGGGCACAACAGCATCCCAAGCTCAAATGGGCTCGCTCTGTTTTTTTTTTAATCCCTGCTGCCCTGTGGCTGTGGAGAACACTCTGGCTGCATCTAGATTACTGCAAGGCGGTCTTCCTGGAGCTGCCCTTGAGAAGTGTTCAGAAACGTCACCTGGTACAGAATGCTGCAGCCAGGACTGGAGTGGGTTGTAGGGACCAGATGGCTTCGGTCTTGGCCCAGCTACACTGACTCCCAATTTGTTTATGGGCACAATTCAAGGTGCTGGTAATGACACTGGAGTGACTTGTTGGGACCACCATGCCTTAAGGACCGCCTATCCTTTGGTGATCCCGCCCGGGCACTGTGACCATCTCCAGAGGCCTTGCTCCGGACACCCCTGCTGGCGGAGACTTCCTTGCTGGTCCCCCCTCCAAGTACCCACCAGGGCTGACCCTGCTTAGCTCCCGGGATCTGATGAGGCTGGGCTAGGCCTGGGCTGTTGTGGAAACCTCATCGCAAAGCCTTACGGAGGAGCAAAGAAATAAACGAATGGATGCGAAGATGTGCGACTGACACCGTGACCTCTTGAGAAACACCACCAGGAGACCAAGGCGGCTGGCAAGCAACATTAAAACTACCCATGCAGCAGGGGTGAGGGCAGTTTTGAGTGGAGAAATGGCTGCATCGCCTTTTCCACGCTTGCTGCTTCTCTGAGACAGCGCCCCTCTCAAGTTTTCGTGTCCCCGCCCCTGAGGTCCCAGACACAGGTTTCTGACAGCAAAGATGCCACCAAAACTACGTGGGGGAGGGGAGTGAGGTTTGGGCCGGCGTGGGCAAAGGGGGCAGGGGGAGAGCGAAGGACACACCCGGCAGTGCTTCTCCGCTCAGAACCCTCTCACTTCCCTAGGAAAAGCAGGTGTCCCAAGTTTTTCTTCTGTGACGGTGTGTGTGTGTGGCACCTCTAGAGAGTCTAAAAAAACGAGAAGTCCCCAAAGCAGCTTGGAAGGTTTCGCCAGATCTAATAACAGGGACTTTCCATCCCTGAGACCCAGTGGATTGTGATGGAGAAAGAAATCTTTGAAGCAATGAGAGTATGAGAAGAAGTGGCGGCTTCGGCTGACGCCCTGAGGTCTGAAGGTTCCAAAACCTCCCTGCAGCCTCCAGGCACAGATGCAGAAAGAGGAGGGGGCAACAAGTGGAGCCAAAGGTCCCGTGTGGAATGGACTGCCACTTTAACAAATACACGGAAAGACAAACCACTACGGAAGGCCGACGTGGTGACAAGGACAGCTGAAGGGGATGAGCAGAAAGGATCACAGGCAGGCGTCCTGGAAGTCATTTAAAACCACACTCGCATCATGACCCAAGAAAGGGGACAAATAAGTCCCTGGAGATGCCAACATGGCTAACTAATGAAGTCAAGGAGATTATCAGAAGCAATATAACTTCCTTGTTCATGCTGATGAGGGAAGCACACACACTGGCGCAAACCAAATGTAAACTCAAGACGGCTGAGGCGCAAATTAACGGCTAACCCGAGAAAAACAGAAGTATCGGCAGCAGGAGGCCCACTCAGAGGGCCGGTGTGGTCGGAGCCTCCCGCTCAGCCGTGGAAGCTGGCCAGGCGACCCTGGGCCCATCGCACCCTCTCCGCCTAGCCCTAGCCCTCCTTGCAAGGCGGTGGTTGTGGGGGCTGAGTAGAGGAGGGGGCACCGACGTGAAAAGCGGCTTTGGGTCCTCAATCAGGGAGAAAAGTGGGCTATAAATGAAAAAGAAGCTGCAGACCCAAGACCTTTCTGGCCCAGAGTCCAGTGGCTGTTCCAGGACACACAGCCCATGCGCCACCCTTCATGCGCCAGACTGCTGCTCGGCCTCACCGAGGGAGGCCTTGGGGGCAGGCTCCACCGCAAGGAGCCGAGCCCCGTACTCACACAAGTCTTCTGGGGCGCCAGGGACCAGGCCCGCCATGGATTCGTAGAGCTCCTCGTCGCAGCCGGGATTCAGAGAACACTTCATCAGTAGGTCAGTGGAGCGGTGAGCCATGGACTCGTAAGTGGAGTCGTCCTCCGTCCCCTCCATCAACTGCTCCTTTATGTGGCTCTTCAGCATGTCCGCCGTCTCCTAGGGAAGGGAGAAAGCCGGAAGGAAGGAAGGACCCCCTGTGAGGCGGCAGCAACGGCCAGGGCACCAGGCAAGGCATTCTTACTCACCACCAGGGCTCCCTTCGAAGCCGTGGAGTCTTGTGAGCAAAAATTCTACTTTGTGAGCTACTGGCCTTAAAGCTGTGAGCGATTTGGCCGCTGCATAAATTAGTTTGCTCTGGAGCCCTCCTGCCTGAGCTGAGACAAAAATGTGTGAGCCAGAAGCTAAAAAACTGTGAGCTGGCTCACACTCACTCAGCTTAGAGGGAACATTGTGTCACCACCAGTCCAAAGCTCAGTCAGGCAGAATTCAGCCATCAAGTCCTCCTGGTTTAAAGGCAGCGGAGGGACACACACACACACCCGCCTCGCCCGTGATGACGAGGGAACAGGAGGACCGGGGGAGGACAGACAGCCTTGACGTGGGGGGCAAAATTGGAGCCCCCCCCCGCTTTTCAATAAAAAGGTGGCTTGTGTGTGCAAGAGAAGAAATTTTCAGCATACAAAGAGGCACAGGAGCCGAAACAGATCTTTATTTTTAACCTCTTTTGGCCACGGTCTAATGAAAACCTAGATTATTTTTTTTTAAGTCAGTGAGGTGAATCCAATCACCCTCTAAGTAGCCTTCCTCCGACTTAAGTAGCTCTTCCTTCAACACAAGAGTCACTTGTAGTGTGTTAAGGGCATCATCTCCAGCTTATGGTGACCCCATGAATGAGTGACCTCCAAAATGTCCTATCATCAGGGGTCGTTTCGTAGAAAAAGAGCTAGGGGAACTCATTAGCATAACTCATTAGCATATGCCACACCCCCTGACATCAAGGGCCCGGCGGTGGACCTGCAAGGCCGGCGGGAGTGTGAGGAAGCCCCGCCAAAGCCCTCAGTGGCTCCAGGCAGGCAGGAGTGGGGAGAGGCGGGGAGGAAGCAACTTACCCTCCCTCTTCTCCTGCCTCCTCCTGGCCGAATGAGGGCCGGAAGCGGGGCGGCTGGAAGTAGGGGGCGGGGCTTCATCATGTGCCCCGCCCCCCTGCACCTCACCCGGGGGAACTGCGTTCCCCCGCGTTCCCCCCCGAAATGACCTCTGCCTATCATTAACAGAAGAGAGGAGAAAAGATTGGATTTATACCCTGCCCTTCACTATCCGAAGGAGTCTCAGAGCAGTCTGCAAACGCCTTTCTTTCCTCTCCCCTTAACAGGTACCCCGTGAGGCAGAAGAGCTCTGACTGAGGACTGCCCTTGAGAGAACCCCTCTGAGAGAACTTGTGACTGACCCACGGTCACACCAGCAGCTGCATGTGGAGGAGTGGGGGAATCAAACCCGGTTCTCCTCTTAAAATAGCGTGTCCAAGACAGTGGACTTATTTTGACATATGTATTGCTTTACAACTGTTGACCTCATAACCTTAGCTTGTTATTTAATTCTGTTTTCCCATATCTTAAACATCTTCACGATGTTACATGTCAATTTGGTGTTCCGCCCTTTTGGACCTTACCTGCCATTCCACTGTGTTTGGGAAAGTGAATGAAGCCTGAATGAAACTTTTGTGAGCGGGAGGGAGGGGCCCACAAGAGGGGGGGCATTTAACAGAGGCCAGAGAACAGCTGGGGGCTCCCGCAGTGATGGGGGCAAGAGGTGAACTTTGGAAGAAGGAAGGGGGAGGGTCAGAACTCCAGAGGGGCCTCCCTGGAGGCTTCCCAGGACTCAGGTCGGACTTGGGAGTGGGGGGGGGGGGCAACACTCTGTGTCACACAGTGGCCAGAAATACCAGTGCCATCAGGAGGTCCACCAGTGGGGCCAGGACACTAGAAGCCCTCCCACTGTTGCTGCTCCATATGCTTATCTAATTCCCTTTTGAAGCTGTCCATGCTTGTAGCCGCCACCACTTCCTGTGGCAGTGAATTCCATGTGTTAATCACTCTTTGGGTGAAGAAGTACTTCCTTTTATCCGTTCTAACCCGACCGCTCAGCAATTTCATGGAGTGCCCACGGGTTCTTGTATTGTGAGAAAGGGAGAAAAGTACCTCTTTCTTTACCTGCTCTTTCCCATGCATAATCTTATAAACCTCAATCATGTCACCCCTCAGTCGTCGTTTCTCCAAGCTAAAGAGCCCTAAGCGCTTTAACCTTTCCTCATAGGGAAAGTGTTCCAACCCTTTTATCATTCGAGTTGCCCTTTTCTGCACTTTTTCCAAAGCTATAATATCTTTTTTAAGGTGTGGTGCCCAGAACTGCACACAGTATTCCAAATGAGGTCTCACCATTGATTTATATAGGGGCATTATTATATTGGCTGATCTGTTTTCAATACCCTTCCTAATAATCCCCAGCATAGCATTGGCCTTTTTTTATTGCAGTCACACACTGTCTCGACATTTTCAGTGAGTTATCTACTACAACTCCAAGATCTCTCTCTTGATCAGTCTCTGCCAGTTCAGACCCCATCAACGTGTATTTATATTTAGGATTTTTGGCTCCAATGTGCATCACCTTGCACTTGGCCACACTGAACCCCATTTGCCATGTTGACGCCCACTTGCAACATGTTGACAGCTTTGAGGATGGGGGTGGAGTTTGGATGCAGATTGCAGGAATGATCACAGAGGAGAGGGAAATACTAGAGTCATGCAGATGCTCCTTGGTTTCTGATTCAATATGAGAAATCCACAGATTTCTGCTTGATCTACATGCCGGGGAACCCTGTGCCCACTGACAAGAGCAAAAGAAAGAAAAGGTGGGTGGGGAGGGGCCAAGCCAGGATAATTGCCGGTTGTTGGATGTTACAAGTTAAAACACTTCTATTTCAGTATTTACTGGGTTAATACTGTTTACTAAATCACATGTTTGTTTGTAACCAATAAGTTTAGAGAGCTAGAAAGCCCAGTAACTTCAGATCTAGTTTTGTTGTTCTGATTGGAGACTAGAGTGCCTAGTATTAGCATTTTATGGCTCTTTGTCCTGAGCAAGAAGAAGTTAGTCTCCATTACTCTTCTGCCATGTTCTGTCTAGCTGTAAGGATGTAGGCATATAGCTCTTTGTTATTTTACATCCCGTATACCTTTTCCCCATGCTAGGTTGTAGTAAACTTTTATATTTAAACACACCATTGACTCTGACTCTTTAATACACTGCTGACTGCTGATTACTCTACTGATTAACTTTAGAAATTAATAAGAATAACCCAATACCGGTGCATTCTACAGACGTGGTGCACTGTGGATTAAGTGACTGTGCAGGGTTGCCAGCCCTGTCCCCGCAAATGCTGGGAGGATGTGACATCACTTCTGTGTCACGCTCAAGGGATTCCTCCTAACCTCCACCGTAGAAGGACCCTACGGATACAGGGAAACTCCCACAGCGTCACTGTGGAGACTGTTTTTTCTTCCACTCCTTAGTTTCTCTGGGGCAGGGCTTGACTGGCTGTGGGTGTTCAAACGACAAGGCTATTCCTAGGGTGAGAAAGGGGTTCATCCCACTCGTGCCCTTAGGTCAGTCAGTTTTAGTTTCTTTAACAGTCCTCTTTCCCCAGGTAACTGTTGCTTTTGCAAAGCGGGAGGGGAATCTCCAGCAGTAGTCTTGGCAAGCGACAGTTTGAAGGAAACCACGACAGTTCGAAGTGGTATAAAATCTGTGTCGGTCTGTAGGTCCTAGATATGGCAGGAGGACTCAGAGGGGAGCCGCACTGCTTGCCCTCGTTTGTTTAGGAGCACAAGGATTTCCACTTACACGAAGCTCATTTGTCCCAGCGACACCACCCACACAGTGCCCTGTGCCCATCCTGTGCACATGCGGATCTTTTACCACTCTAGAGCGTCTGCCCTCGCCAGCATGGGAGCGCTTCCTCCGCCAAGCAAGGCGTCTCGTTTCCTCTCCAGCAGCGCATCTCTTATAACTCATTAATGTTGGGATTGTTCTAAACACTGGTTTTTAACATTTTATTTCACTTAATGCATGCTGCATGAAGAAGTGAACAGTGACTCGTGAAAGCTCACAGCCTACCACAAAGTTTGTTAGTCTTTAGAGAGCCAGTTTGCCAGTTTTGTGTCGTGGTTAGAAGCACAGACTCTAATCTGGGAGGACCGGGTCTGATTCCCCACTCCTCCTCCACATGCAGCTGCCGGAGTGACCTTGGGTCAGTCACAAGTCCTCTCGGAGCCGTTCTCTCAAGGGCAGTTCTCGAGAGAGCTCGCTCAGCCCCCCCACCTCCCAGGGTGTCTGTTGTGGGGAGGGGAGGGGAAAGGAAGACTGTAAGCCGTTATGGGACTCCTTCGGGTAGTGAAGGGCCATGGGGTATAAATCCAATCTCCTCTTCCTCTCCCTCTCCCTCTTCTTCTTCTTCTTGGTGCTACTGGACTCTTGCCCTTTTCTACTGTGTGCTGCATGCCTCATTGAAGCCCATCTCTGTCCTGAGTCAAATAAGCACCAGCAACCTTCTCCCTTCCGGCACGTCATTCCCCGTCTCCTTCTTTGCCATCCATTAATGGGGGAAGGAATATCCCCAGAGGTGCTGGACCAGGGCTGACGTGAGTATGTGGAGACGAATACTTAGAACAGGGTGATAGCAGAAGTGTAGTTGCCTGCCAAACTCCCCCATTTGCATTGCACCTCTGAAACATTTTGGTCTTATGGGTTCCCTACCATGCTCCTAAGCATTAGGATTCTCTGAATACATTTTGTTCCTTTGCAACTCTACCTACTGATGGGGTCAAGGAGCTGCGGTGGCTCAAGTGGTTAAGACGCTGAACTGCAGGCTGTGGAAGGTCGGTAGTCCAGCAGTTTGAGACCCGAGTGTGCCGCATGACGGAGTAAGCTCCCGTCTCTAGTCCCAGCTCCTGCCAACCTAGCAGTTCAAAAGCAAGACATTGCAAGTAGATAAATAGGGACCACTTCGGTGGGAAGGTAACAGCGTTCCGTGCGCCTCGGCGTTTAGTCATGCCGGCCACGTGACCACGGAAATGTCTTCAGACAGCGCTGGCTCTTCGGCTTTGAAACGGAGATGAGCACCGCAACCCTAGAGTCAGACTCGACTGGCTTTCGAGCAAGGGAACCTTTACCTTTACTGATGGGGTCAAGTTGAGGGAAAACAGAAGGCGAATGATCCCTCTTACCACGTATTCATCAATGAACTGCCGGAGATCTCTGAAGCCCTCTTTCTCTGCAATGCTGTTGGGGTAGTGGCCATACTTGTTGGCGACACTGTAGGCTTGCAAGGCTCCCGGGCATGTCAGCAGCAGGGCTGTGAGGTTCTTCAGCCCATATTTTGCAGAAAAGTGCAACAGTGTGGGCAGCTCTTCATCCCTCTGACCTGTTTAAAGAGAGAGAGAGAGAGAGAGAGAGAGAGAGAGAGAGAGAGAGAGAGAGAGAGAGAGAGCGAGCGTAAACACACTCTCTCAGAATACACCCTAGAATTCACCCCCAATAATTCAACCAGTGGGAACGGGGGTGGGTGGGTGGGCACTCTGCGTATGAAATGGAGCCCAGCTGCAAGCTCATAGCTGGCAAAAGGAAAACCCCAGGAGATGAATCCTCTCTATCCCAGGTCCAGAGACCCTGAGGGCTGAGTTATGCAAATGGCTCTGGCCAGAGTAAGACAAAAGGCTTATCATCTAACACCCTGCTAGGCCATCACAACGAAAGGGACAGAGACTGAGAAATACAAACAGCCACATAGTTTTCCTTCCTCTAGAATCAGCAAGATCAGGACTGTTCAAAGGGGAGATTATAAATTCTCAGGACATGAGGAAGAAGCTCTCTTGTGGCCTGAGAGGTACAAACTTTTGTTGTTGTTGTTGTTCAGCCGCACAGTCGAGTCCGACTCTCCGCGACCCCATGGACCAGATCACGCCAGGCCTTCCGGTTGTAGTGTATTCAGATGCTGCCCTGAATATACTAGGATGAATGTGAAATCATCCCCATAGAAAAGCTATGTTAAGCTTCAGGCTTCGGCAGGGATTCGTGCCGAAGACATTGTGGCCAATCACATTTGAACTGTATGTAAGCGGGAAAGCTTATGATTGGTCTGTTATGCGAACAACCTGATAGGTTGAGAATTGTACAGTAGGTGTGGCTACATTAGCCCGGAATGTTTAAATACCGAGCAGCTGCAATGGACAAGCTGTTTGGGCTATGAGGAGTTGTACCGTGTTAGAGAAGTTGATTGTCGAGCTGAATAAACCTGAGTTTTTGCTGAAATCACTCTCTGACTAATTTGTTAAGTACGGACTTAACACCGGTCTTCTGCCGTCCTCTGAAGTTTGCTCAATTTCATGTTCGTTGCATCTATGACACTGTCTAACTATCTCATCCTTTGCCGTCCCCATCTTCTTTGACCTTCAGTCTTTCCCAGCATCAGGGTCTCCTCCAGTGAGTGCTCCCTTCTCATTGGGTGGCCAAAGTATTTGAGCTTCAGTTCAGGTACAAACTAGGAAGCACTAAATCGTTATCAAGAGACTCCATCTTGACTAATGTTGAGGAACAATAAAGGTCTTTTAAATGCTGAAACTTCAAGAATCACCAGCCTATCCTAATTTAACATCTTTTAGGATAAGCTTAACAGCTAGAGTCCAGTAGCACATTAGAGACCAACAAGATTTGGGGGGGAGGGGGGTAATAAGCTCCCTTTGTCCGATACTTGAAAGCTCAACCCCCAAAAGCTTGTTGGTCTGCCGTTCCACTGTTCAGCTACCCTCTGAAAGTAGGATAAGCTAGAAATGTGTGTTTTCATTTTTTTTTCCTTTGTATCTTTGCCTCAGTCTGATGTTTGTAGAGACCATGTGTACTCTTTTTTATTTTGGGGTGGGTTTTTTTTTTAGTTTTCTTATATTCTGAAAGCTCAAAGCCTGACCTTTGTGAACACACTACACCTACTCAGAGTCTTGCCATCTAAAGTGTGATAAAGGGGAGGGGGAGAACATAAGCTCACCATCCCTGGAGCATGATAGCGCAAAAGTGCAAAAGTGTGATAGATTATCTCCGTGTTAGGTAATAATAAAGATGAAGCAGGAGGTGTAGAAGCTGGGCAGAGCCTTTAAACGGGCATTGTAGATACAGAGCCTTGATCTACAAATCCACCTAGCAGGAGAGACATTCGTTGGTGGCAGTGGTTACTACCCAGCGAGACGCTAATAACCGCCAGACCCAGGTTGGCAGAAGAACTTTTCTGATCTCCTGGTACACCCAAGGCAACGAAGCGAGCCTGGCCATTCTTTCACAGTCTCCATCAGTATCTTGAGGATACTGATGTCTGCCACAGAATACCACCATATTGCAAAGGATTCTGTTCACACACAGCAACAACCCTGGCCTCTCCTTTTTGTCACTGTGTGAACTGAGAACACAATCCGGGCTCCTGCCTAACAGGACTTTGTTTCAGTGCCTGCACCTTGGTAGGGAGGCCTGCCTCACAAATAAGACGGTTACTTTGGGTCCACAATTCATAAAATGTGTCAAGAGAAATGAGATTCAGAGAGGACTTGAGACCTCCCTGACTGTCCATCCCCCAACCCAGCCTACCTACTGGCTGAAACAGGGGTGTAAAACTCATTTGTTATGAGGGCCGGATCTGACATAAATGAGTCCTTCTTTATTTATTTATTCATTTTATTTATTTTATTCAATTTATACCCCGCCCTCCCTGCAACGCCGGGCCATGCGTGTCATAAAATGTAATTCCAGGTAGCGGGGGTATAAACCTTATAAAGGACACAAACACAAAGTGTTTTCTTTACTTAAAATAAAAACATGCCTAAAACGTTAGCTCTCCTGCAATGTTTTCAATGTTTTGTTTATTTAACAGTGTCTGATAACTGACCCCTCATGCTCTGAATTACTGCATCAAAAAGTCTGTGCTGTTGCAATCCTGAGTGTGCTGTTCAGGTGTGCATCTGTAAGCTGCAAACCTACGATGATGCAGCAGCAGCAGAACTGGAAGAAGAAGCAGAAGACAGCCGGTTCCACTGCAGGCCTGATAGGAGCCCTCCGGGGGGCCTGATCCGGGCCCCGGGCTGAATGTTTGGCACCCCTGGGCTAAAAGAAGTTGAAGGGAAACTCCAGGAGAACGGCCTCTCCCCTCAAGTTTTACTGTATTCTGGGTCCATGCCCTACAATCAGACAGGGCACAGATACAGCAATATCCAGTTATTCTGCAGCATGCCAAATGTTTTCCACCAGCAGGTTATCTTAGATCCCTTGAGACCTCCGAGTGTCGGAGAACCTTTACCCTGGCATGCCCTTCAGCCCTCCTGCAAGGCAGATATCATTGTGTCCCACTCTCTCAGCGGCTGTGTCCATGTCATACAGGGAAAGCAGAGCCTGTTGAACCTGCTGCATTGCCCATTCTATGACATTTGACATCAGTATACTGCCCCAATCCTGTCAACTATACCAGGATATGAACAACTTTATGTCTCTCTCCTCCTTGCAGACTCCTCTCAGGAGATAACCAACAAAGTTGGCAAATTTTGCCTACGGGTGTGTAGGATACGCAAGCGGCTGACTGAGTCCCAGTAACTTTGTCAGCCTGTTGGAGGAGGGCTTTACTTTTCTTGTCTGTCCTCCCCTCTTAATATCTGTTTGTTGTTTTATGCTTGCCGCAGTGCTGTGTTTTATTATTTGCAGACTCTTTGGAGCTGATCTTGTATCAAAATACAGTTTCATACAAATAGTTATTTGTCCATCTGCTTTAAATGCTTAACTTCAAGACTGCCTCTCCCCATATGAGCCCCAGAGGACACTGAAGTCTGCAAATCAACATCTTCTAGCAGTCCCCGGCCCCAGGGACGTCTGACTAGCCTTGACTAAGGCCAGGGCTTCTTCAGCCTGGCGCCCACCTGGTGGAATGCGCTCCCATGAGAGATCAGGGCCCTGCGGGAGCTACTGCAGTTCCACAGGGCCTGCAAGACGGAGCTCTTCCACCGAGTCTTTGGTTGAGGTGGAGGACATCCCTCTTCTCTCCTGGCTGTTTGCCCTCCACAGTGGCCTGGATCCCAATATCGGGGTACTGCTGAATTTAAATAATCTGATTGATATCAGATGCTGTTTGCCTAGTATTTTAGGATTTCATTGTTTAAAGTTGTCTTTTTAATGGTTATTGTAATGGTATTATATTAAGATTAATGTAAACCACCCTGAGCCCGTCCATGGGGAGGGTGGTATATAAATCAAATAAATAAAAATGTTTTTAAAATACTTTTAAAAAATAGAAGCTGAAACTAGCACATTGTAGCAATAGGTTGTTCTAACATTCTAAGGCTATAAGAGCCACTTTGGTGTAGTGGTTAAGTGCGCGGACTCTAATCTGGGAGAACCGGGTTTGATTCCCCCACTCCTCCACTTGCACCTGCTGATGTGACCTTGGGTCAGTCACAAGCTCTGCCACAGCTGTCCTTGAAAAAGAGCAGTTTGTGTCAGAGCTCTCTCAGCCCCACCCACCTCCCAGGGTGTCTGTTGTGGGGAGGGGAAGGGAAAGGAGTTTGTCAGCCGCTCTGAGACACCTTTGGGTAGTGAAGGGCGGGATATAAATCCAATCTCTTCTCTTCTTCTTCCATAAGGATGAAGCAATTCCTGGCTTTATTTTTAAAAGCCCTCTGGTGTAGGGAGGAGGCAGCCACTGCAGGCGCCGTGACTAGGAAAACGGTGCTGATGTGGGCAGGACCTTCCTTTCAACACGGCATCCAAAGTCACTTGAACTACAGTTGTCCGTCCCATAAAGCTCACACCAGACCAGGGGTTAAAAGTGGGCAAAAGCACAGAAGATGGGTAAACAGAGGACAACATCATGTGGAAGCTTCCCCCTGCAATGCTGCTGTAAGGAAGCCAAGACAGCCAAAGCATCTGTGTGGGAACAGCTGAAGACTCCACAAATCTTGACAAAGCCGTGAACATCCTCTTGGCTACATCAGTCCTCTAGATCTGGGGACCTGCAGGTGGTTCCAGAGTCCAGCTGAAACGAATTTTAGTGGGGAAACCCTGTGCAGTCTGGACGCACCACACACACACTCGTGTGCCCATGCACACTACAGGGAACTGATATTAATGCGGATCAAAGGCTCACATACCACTGTGAAGTCATCATTACAAACATCCGTTTGCACTGAGGAAGCAGTGACAAGAAGTACCTATGCAGGCACAGTTTGAGAAAGGAAGAAATGAAAATCCTGGCCACAGACGGCAGGCAGTGCTGCTAAAACCTTCGGCAGATGGTCTGTCACTGTGGCCCCGGTCACACGGGCCGGATATCGCGGGGGGGAGGCGTGGCTGATTACCCCGGGGCAAAATAACGTGCGGTTGCACGATCAGACATCCCATGGAGGTTCCGTGGAGGTCCCGTGGGTAGGGGGGAGGTGCCGATCACAGGACAATCCTGCGGCGCAGCAAAGAAGCAGTGTGGTGTGGCAAACGGGTTTGTTTTTTTCTGTACACCAAAGTATGTGCATGCTCCGTTGGGTGCTTGTGCACATCCATGGAGACTTGGGGAGGGGGGAACCCTTTTTGCAAGGGGACATGGGCGGGCGCCGGATGCCACCGGAAACACGATCAGACGCCCGCCCTTGCCCCGCGGTTACCGGAAACTAGTACCTCGGAGGTACTAGTTTTTTTACCCCGCATCTTCGGCGGGAAGCCTCAGGTGAGCCACGGGAGCTCTACGCTTCCCAGATGTGGCGGTGAGATTGCGCCCGGAAAATCCACCTATCTTCTGTCTCTCTAGCGTGGCTAATGTTCCGTGTGACCGCAGCCTAAAATTACCTCTTCTCTTGCAGGGTCCTCCCTCCCCTGTGATTTCTACAACGCCCCAAAGTGCAATTTCCTAGAAACAGAACAATAGATCTTATCTCGGGTCTGTCAACTCCTCTTCATTTACACACGGGTTCTTTCCCCATTTCTGTTCGGCCCTCTGCCAGAAGTGACATTATAGCTGAAGAAGCAGAATTAGAATATCACTTGCTTAGGAGCACCCCTCCCAAACAAAACCCGGCACCTGGCTGCATTTCTGCACTCCCAGCCCTCATTACCCCGACTCTGTGTGTCACACTCGCCTCCCCCTCCGCCCTCCATTGCATTCCTTCCCACTGCATCAAAATTGAGAGACTGGATGCTCCTTTTGTCATATGGAACACACCCAGCGTGGCATGAGAGGTTTCAGAGGCTGAGCCGCTACACTCTGCTGCCCGTTCCCTGGGGAAGGAACCAGGGCAGGCGGAGGCTTCTGCGCTGGCTATTTACCGATGCCCACGTTGCTTTGTGGGGGCAGGAAAAGCACCCGGACAGAGACACTCCTCGTCTTTCAAGCAGGTTGAGTTGTCCCCCAGAGCACAGTGGTGCCTCCTAGCCCCTGTCGTCAGAGCATGTGCAAGCTGCCATTTACCATGGATCATTTAAAAGCTCTCTTCTTCTAGCCATCACAAGCCAACCAAGCATCTTTTGTTAGATCTAGAAATGTTAACTTGCAAGGTGCCTCGGGGGGGGGTCTCGAACAAGGCACCTCCCCCTGGCCTAGACTCAGCTCCTCACAGTCTGCACCACGGAGCCAACTGCCACAAGCGGCACATAGCACCTCCTGGGGTCCAGTCTCTCTCCTGGCATGGGGTCACCTGGCCAGGGCACAGCACATGATCCCATCACACAACTTCAGGCCGTCTGCGTGGGAGGGCCTGTCCCCACGGAGCCTCTGCTTTCCCAACTGAACCCGACTTCCTGGAACCCGAGTGCGAGGGTTGCCAGCTCCAGGAGGGGTGGAGGCCGAGGAGGGTGGGGTTTAGGGAGGGGGAGGGACATCAGCGGGGTATGAATGTCACGCTTGAGCCTCGCTTGTCATTTGATGTTGTCGACCTATACTCGGGGCTAATGGCTTTCTCAGAGGAGCTCAGTCCTCTGTTTTCGTCTAGAAAGGGGCTGTGTGACTGTGAGTGTGTGAGTGTCAGCTTACGCTTACGTAGTGCAAGCTGTGAGGCCCTGGGAAACGTATGATCTCAGCGCCCACCCTGACCTTGGGGGGGGGGCATGGAAAGTCCAGATAATGAAACGGCTAGTGGCAGGTGTGTGTGTGTGTGGGGGGGGCTTTTGAGCAAGTTTGGATCTTTGGCGGGGTGAGTGAGAATACGGATTGGTTTGTGTGGCTCGGGGGGATGTCTTGAATGTAGTCTAGGGTCGGTCCTGGCACCCGGGTGTCAGTTCTGACACAGAATCGTTCCATACTTGGAACCTTTCTACTTCTCAATAGACAAATCTTGCTGAAACAAGAGTGTGGTGGGAGCGACTGCGTCCGAGACCTGACATAGAGCCGTGCCTTCCAAAGCAACCCTTTTCTCCAAGTGAACTGATCTCTGACACCTGGAGATCAATTATAATCCCAGGAGATCTCCGGCCATCCCCCAGGGGTTGGCAGCCCTGAATCTGACACTGCCTGCCCGGGATTACGTTTCTTGCCTCTGGCCCCTTAAGTCCGGGTTACTTGTGGGTACATTTCTTGACTCCCTCCACCCTGCTTCTTGCCTCTGGGCTCACTTGGGCTTCTGACCCTTGGCCTGACCTCAGCACCGCTTAGCACCACTGATCTGGTGACCTGGATCACATCAGGCTCCCCGACACCTTGTTAGTTTAGCTACATCAAAAGGTGTTTATCCTGTTAACGGCCACAGGACAGCAAAAGCAGCACAACGTCTGGGGAGGTAGGTGGGTGGGGGAGCTGCAAGTATTTTGACACCTCCACTCCTCCTCCTGCTGGCTGAATCTAAAACGGCCACCCAGGGCCCCATGGTGTGGGTCTGGGAAACCATGTCGGTGGCAGCCCACCCCGCCATTATTTTGCACACCACTAGCACCTGTGGCGCTCACCCTGGACCCTGATGAAAATGATGTGGGTCTGAGAGCTGGCGACAGGTACGAGAAACATCTGTTGCCTCCTCCCACAACTACCCTCGCAGAATGCCCCCACCAGCATCCTCTGGGGGCCTTCGGAGCTTTTGAACACAGCAGTATCCAGGCCGTACCGCCAGGGGTCGTTTCGTAGAAAAAGAGCTAGGGGAACTCATTAGCATAACTCATTAGCATATGCCACACCCCCTGACATCACCGGAAGTGTGTCATAAGGCCACACACCCCGCCCCCAACGGTCCCGGCCACCGCCGCCGGCCTTGCAGCTCCACTGCCGAGCCCCATGAGGGGCCCGGCGGTGGACCTGCAAGGTCGGCGGGAGTGCAAGGAAGCCCTGCGAAGGCCCTCCCTGGCCCCAGGCAGGCAGGGGTGGGGAGAGGCAGGGAGGAAGCAACTTACCCTCCCTCTTCTCCTGCCTCCTCCTGGCTGAGTGAGGGCCGGAAGCGGGGCGGCCGGAAGCAGGGGGCCGGGCTTCGTCATGTGCCCCGCCTCCCCGTACGTCACCCAGGGGAACTGCGATCCCCCGCGATCCCCCCCCAAAATGACCTCTGCGTACCGCACCATTCTCTAAGTTGTGTTGTGAGCATCCTGTGCTTCCACTTACAAACCCACCTTCCCACAGCCACCAGGTCCCAGTATCTTTCAGGTCCTTTAAAAGAAAACCTCAGCCAACCAAGAATCTCCAGAAATAGAAAAACTGTGCATGTCGATTAACATATGCAAAAGGCGTCAGATTCACATGATATAAACCACAGGAAACAATGGGTGTTTGACCAATACATGTTTGACAGCCAAGAGATCCTAATACTGGTGGGGTATCAGGAAAAACTTTCTAACAGTACAAGCAGTTCAGTGGTGGAACTGGTCGCCCAGGGATGTTCTCTCTCCTTGGAGATGTCTAAGTGGAGGCTGGACAATTACTTGTCAGGGATGCTTTAGGCCATCCTGCATTGAGCTGAGCAGGCTGGACTGGATGGTCTCTAGGCCTCTTCCAACTTCTTAAATTCTATGACCCAAAGAGTTCTTTCCCACCCAGGGCATGCACACTAGTGGAAGCTCCGACCACCCTTCCCACATCCCCTGGAAAAGGGAGCTCTGAAACCCTGCTCTCAGTGCAGCATACTGCATCTTGCCTGTTTCACTGTGCCAGGCTAAGACTGAGGGATGCTGCGGAGCTAAGCTTCATCTCCATCTCCAAAATCTGAACAGCAAAGTAAGTTTTGTGCACACCTGTCCCTCCAGCCCTGCCAAGGCACTGGTTCCTAGAAATGGTATTTCGCTTTCAAATCGTGTTGTTGCACTGGAGTTTTAGAAATGGCTTGGATAGACCATCTGCTGGCTTGTGTTGCATGGGATGGCCAAGACTGCCAAGCACTTATTCCCCCCTCTTTCTTTCCTAAACCTCTGCTAGGCAGGGCTATTTTTGGGCAGGAACGCACAGGAACGGAGTTCCGGCTGGCTCCCGAGTTGGCCACGCCCAGCAGGAACTCATTGGCATAATAGGCCACACCCAACAGCAGAAACTCATGAGGATTGGCTACATTAGGGGTGTGTGGCCTAACATGCAAATGAGTTCCTGCTACAAAAAAAGGCCCTGGGTTTTGACAACAAACAAGGTAAACAGAACAACAAGCAAAAGGTGGGTGTGTCTGGATGACCACACTTCTGCAAACATGGGGTGTGTGGCCTAATATGCTAATGAGCTGTGCTGTCAGGGGTGTGTCCTAATAAGTTAAGGAATTTCTGCTGTTGGGTGTGGCCTATTATGCTAATGAGTTCCTGCTGGGCTTTTTCTACAAAAAAAGTCCTGCTGCTAGGCAGGAAAAGACTTCCAAACAGAATGAAACACACAGTATTTTTCCCACTGCCACCAACACCCACTTGTGCTCATGTCTTCCTCCTCCAGCTGGTTGATTCCTAAGAGGTGCCAGCCACTCGCAGGAAGGTTCTTCTTCAGTGACTCCGTCAGGATCTTGTCCAGAGCTTCTGTGTTGCAAGGAACTATTTTAAAAGCCTGAATACAAAGAGGCAGGCGTTTATTTCATTTACTCCACTTACAGTCCACCTTCCGCGCTGAAACTCAAAGTGGATTGCAAGACATTCAGCAGCACAACAGGAACAGCACAAGGCATATAAAGAAATATTTAGAAAACAACACAAAAGAAACAGTTGAAGGCATGATCGCGGCGGATTGCCACAATCAATGGCACGGAATGAACTGTGCCATGAGCTACAGCCCTTGCGTCTTTATTAAAGCATCCTCCTGGACCGTTCCCATTTTTACTGCAGCCCCCACTTCCCTGATTAAGTTGCCCACCCCCACCCCCCCCATTCCATTTTGCACATTCTGTGGAATGACAGCGTGTGGGAAGGTTCCCGAGGCAGGCCATTCCACGGGGAGGGGGGCCACCACAGAGACGTGGCTGATCCTACCGATTCGCGTGGTGGCACCTTACAGTGAAGCTTTTGGGAAAGTTTCAAATGATAAGATCCCTTAATGCATTACTAGGAATCATCATAAATTTAGACACAAGTCATCCAACAGGGACTGCACTGCTGCCCAGTGAGGGTTGGTGGTTGTCATTTGCAGGGGAAGATGAGTTTTGAGAGTACGGGACTAGGAAATAAGCCCTTAGAAACCGTGAAATGATAACGTGGGGGAGGCAACTTGTTTTTGTTACACAGCTTGTAAACACAGAAGGGTAGGAACTGTAGCTGTGTTGGCCGTTCTTTTTACACATTCCCTTGTTCTTTTAAGGAGCTGCGGTGGCTCAAGTGGTTCAGACGCTGAACTGCAGGCTGTGGAAGGTCAGTAGTTCAGCAGTTCAAGACCCGGGTGCCACATGATGGAGTGAGCTCCCATCTCTAGTCCCAGCTCCTGCCAACCTAGCAGTTCAAGAGCAAGAAATTGCAAGTAGAGAAATAGGGACCACTTCGGTGGGAAGGGAACAGTGTTCTGTGCAGCCTGGTGTTTAGTCATGCCGGCCACATGACCACGAAAACGTCTTCGGACAGCACTGGCTCTTCGGCTTGGAAACTGAGATGAGGACCGCAACCCTAGAGTCAGATTCGACTGGCTTTCGAGCAAGGGAGACCTTTACCTTTACTTTGTTCTTTTAACACTTCCATTGTGGGAAGCTCTCTTGGCCACCCAGGATATCGCTGCTCAACAAGGTCATGCAGCCACTGCGGGTTGAACCCGTCTTCAAAGAGAACACATTAATGGATTCAGCCAGCAAAACATCCCAGCCCCGTTCTGCTGGATCCTGCAGTTCATCAAAGCTGGATCTTCCTTCACCCCCATCTCTCCTGACCCTTTCAAGTAATACCACCACCCACTGAATGAAGTCTGAAGCTTATTCAGTCCCCATACTTACCACGGATCACAGAACCAATTCTACTGGACTCTGCCATTCCCCAATCAATAAGATTTGTAACCTGCTGACTAGCCATTTCTTGCCCCCCCTTTTTTTAAAAGAAATGGGCAATCCCATTTCTACACTGTAGTTCTCAAAGTAAATGAATGGCAAAATGTGGTTCTCTGCCTAGCTGATTCAACGCCAAAAGAAATTTCCCAAAGCTACACATAGGTTTGGAATTAGGCACTTTGATTTCCATATGATTCCATAAACATATCTGTAGCCCGACCTTGCATATGAATTGTATCCCTTGAGAGATCATCTCCGTACTGCTTTGACCGTGCAAAAGAACGACCAATCACAACCAATGTTCCCTCTAAGCTGTGGAGTCTTGTGAGCAAAAATTCTACTTTGTGAGCTGCTGGCATTAAAGTTGTGAGCGAGCGATTTGGCTGCTGCATAAATTAGTTTGCTCTGGAGCCACCCCTTCCTGAGCTGAGACGAAGGCTAAAAAACTGAGAGCTAGCTCACACTAACTCACACTGATCACAACTCTCGTAGCTAAGGCGAGAGCGTTCCCGGCTTCATTATTGCCCCATGAGCCCGCTGTTCTCAGAGTCTGCTCAGTGATTCCAGAATGTCTCCCTCTCTCTCTCTCTCTCCCGCCTCCACCCCAGCAGAAGCCCTATTGTGACATTTTACCTGACACATGAATCCCACAGGATTAGCTGCAGAAGCCAGCAGGGTGCTGATTTCTTCCATGTCAGTGTGGTAGTGAACGTCTGCTTCGACGACCATTAAATCCCCAGCAAACAATCGCAGGCTCACTGTGCCAGGTGGCAAGTCTGTGAAACGGGGGGAAAGATTCAGATCCATCACTCAAGGCCCGAAAGGAAAATGACGGTGCTGGAAGAAGCAGTGCAGGAAAACGTGAGCAAAAGTTTACACGGTTGGACGATATTTGTTTAAACTCCAGTGCAGCTGAACCAAACGCATCTTGCAAATCAGAAAGCATTTCATCCAAAATGGCCTGATGTATAGAACCAAACAATAGAAGAAGAAGAGGAGGTGATTGGATTTATACCTCGCCCTTCACTACCCAAAGGTGTCTCAGAGCGGCTTACAAACTCCTTTCCCTTCCTCTCCCCACAACAGACAGACACCCTGTGAAGTAGGTGGGGCTCAGAGAGCTCTGGACAGAAATTGCTCTTTTTTCAAGGACAGCTCTTATCAGAACTACGGCTTGCCCAAGGTCATCCAGCCAGGTGCAAGTGGAGGAGGAGTGGGGAATCAAACCCAGTTCTCCCAGATGAGAGTCCGTGCACTTAACCACTACACCAAACAGGAAGGAAGGAAGGAAGGAAGGAAGGAAGGAAGGAAGGAAGAGAGATTGGATTTATACCCCACCCTTCACTACTCAAAGGTGTCTCAGAGCGGCTTACAAACTCCTTTCCCTTCCCTTCCCCACAACAGACCCCCCCCCTTGTGAGGTCGGTGGGGCTGAGAGAGCTCTGACAGAAACTGCTCTTTTTCAAGGACAGCTCTTATCAAAATTATGGCTTGCCCAAGGTCATCCAGCCAGGTGCAAGTGGAGGAGGAGTGGGGGATCAAACCTGGTTCTCCCAGATTAGAGTCCGCGCACTTAACCACTACACCAAACTGGCTCTCTTTGTCTAATAGCTTACAGTCTTTGACTCTGTCAAATATTCTTCTATTAAGATTGTCTTTTGTAACAAGACTGATATTTCTTTCATGGAGTTTCTCGTTATACTGTCCTTCATTAAGCTAGAAAAGGCAATCTTGAACCCAGATGAACACATCGAGCTACCTTGCACATAGTCAGACCACCAGTCCACCCCAAGTCAGTACTGTCTACGAAGATGGGCAGCAGCTTGCCAAGGTCTCAACCCGATCACTTTTACTGGTGATTCGGGAGATTGAAACCGGGATCTTCTGCACACCAAGCAGATGCTCTGCCTCTGAGCCACACCTTCTCCCCAGCTTCTGTGCCTAACTATCGTGTGGCTGAACGGCCACAGCAATCTCTGAAAAATCAATGCTGTTGACACAGAAGCTGCATTCAGCCAACAGGACAAGCTGTAAGTAAACCGAGATTTGCAAGGATGGGCGCACGTGCAGTTTTAGGCTCCCACACACACAGAGTGCCCTTCAACTGGGATTACACTGAAATTTAGAATCTCGGTTTGTAAAGTACACACCAGCTCCAACTCACCCAGGTGCCTGCATTCAGACATCAGAGGGAACCAGAGCTCATGTCAAGATTTCTTAAACCTGGAAGCTTAAATCACTCGCCATGCACAATGCAGAGGGGGAGAAAGAAGGGCATTCAAGGCAGGTGAAATACACTGTCTGTTCTGTTAAAATACAGCTTTTCATGCTGTTTCAGGGTAGCAATACACTTAGGGAATGTTTGCGTTTTTGTGTATCATGCAAAAAGCACAAGGCAGTTTTTCTTACTGCATCCCTGTCCCCAGCCAACAGATGGACACAAGGGGTGCATTTGTGTCTTCAGGGAAGTGACAAACATTCTTCTAAAGATTCAAGTATCAAAGATGTGCCATTCAGATTTGCCACATGAGTGCAATTTAGCACAGCTGTCCTAATGTGAAGCACTTGCTGTGAAGCAAAGTAAGCCGTCACATTTGAATACCAAAGAAAAGCCCCCCTATATTATTTTAAAACACCACAGAGTTGAAATGAACAGCAGGTTCTCACACTCTGTCGAAAGTGAAGTGGACAGGAAACACAAGTCAACTTCTGCTTCCAGTAATGGCTACTCTCCCCTCATATGAAGACAACCCACAAGACACGAGACGCAAAGTCCCCCTCTTCACACATAACACAAGAGGGCAAAACAAAACAGGAAGCGTGGCCTTAGCTCTAAGCGTTTGAACAGTTATCTATTTTGGGCTTTACAGAGGCTTAAATTTAGCTTTCCACACTTGCAGATGAGGAGGCTGTGGCTTCCGTTTACACCCCAGCTGAGGCCAGTTCACTGTTGCAAGGAGGAGTAGGTCTTGGGGCCAGTTTCTGCCACAGAGACACACTTCAGTCACGGGAAGCAGGTCCGGGCACCTACCAGGTGTACAAACCGAGACCGTATACTCGTTCTCTGTCCTGGAAGGGACTCGCACAGACCGACAATTTGCAGGACAAAATTCTACTTCCATCTTCACTTGGTGATCCAGCTTGCATTTCAGAATGATGTACATTGTCGTCTGCACCTAGAAGGAGAGCAATTTAATTTAAAACCGAATAATATCCAGAGCCTCTTGGGTACTGTACAGGCAGCTTAGTAACTCCCATTCTTTATAAGATGCTGTGCTGAAGTGATCTACAATATTAAAGCACAAAGTATACTGTGTTAAAACAAAACTCATTACAAAAAAACTGAGGATTTAAAAAAATAACATCTGTTCACAGCTAGAATGAAGAAATCCCAGGCCACATCAGTTCCAACCTGACCCCAAAAGCTCAGTCTCTTCAGCGGGGAAAATGGTCATGAGCAGAGAACCCTCTGAATTTCACGTTTCTCTCCTTTATTGTAAGAACAACAATGCAAACAGCACGGTCAGTTGTCACCAAAGTACAACAGAAGGGGGGCTGTGTGGGTATTTTAGAGGCTCTTGGGTTGGGAATGATTTTATTTTGCACAAATATCTTGTGCATCTCCTCTGTTTAGTCTCTGAGATGGCTTTTAAAAAGACAAACGTTTTGTCAATGGTCATAAGCCACGATGGCCACAAGAAACCTGAGTGCCCGCTGCGAGGAGAGGCAACAGCAGAACAGCAGAAGAGGCCGAATCTAAATGGACCCTGGTGCTGAGCCCTGCAAGGGCGTCTAGAAGGCCATGGACAGGATCTCCTTATATTCTACATGAACCGAAGGAGACAGGCAGTGGCTACAAAATCCTCACTGGAAGCCTGCCAGCCACATCTGAGGAAGGCAAGAGAAAGGCCCTTTCTGCCTCACACGTTTTTATTTATTTTTAGATATTTTTATGCACTACGTTTCTCCTCAGTGGGAACTCAAATCAGCCTATGTCATTCTCCCTTCCTCTGTTTCATCCCTGTGTGAGGCAGGCTGAGGGCCCTGATCCAACATTGGCGTCTCTTATGTTCTTATGTTCCTTGGCCCAGTACTTTTCAATATTTTTGTAAATGATCTGTATGAGGGGCTACTCATTAAATCTGCAGATGACACCATATTGGGAGGAGCAGCAAACACACCAGAAGACAGAGATAGAATCCAACAAGTTCTGAACACGCTGGAAAAGTGGGTGGATGTGAACAAGATGCAACTTAATGAGGGTAAGTGCCGAGTTCTACATCTGGGTAACAAAAATGAGGAGCACACATACTGGATGGGGTATATGCTTCTGGGTAGCAGTGTGTGTGTGTGAACAAGATTTTGGGGTATGGGTGGACCATAAGTTAAATATGTGCAGCCAGTGTGATGCAGTGACAAAAAAGGCAAATGCAGTCTTGGGGTGTATCAACAGAGGGATAACACCCGAATTGCAATATGTCACAGTCACCCTGTACACCTCATTGGTCAGGCCACACCTGGAGTCTTGTGTGCAGTTCTGGAGGCCTCCCTTCAAAAAGGATGTGGACAGAATGGAGCGGGTGCAGAGGAGAGCGACGAGGATGATGGGGGGCCTGGAGACCAAGCCCTGCGAGGAAAGGCTGAGGGACCTCTTGGGAATGCTCAGCCTGGAGAAGAAGAGGCTGAGGGGGGGACATGATTGCTATCCTGAAGTGTCTGAAGGGCCGTCACTTGGAGAGGAGGGCAGGGAGCTGTTCCTGTGGGCAGCAGAGGCTGGGACTCGCAAGAATGGGTTTAAACTAAGGGTGGGAAGGGATCGGCTGGATCTTAGGGGAAACTTTCTTACGGTAAGAGTTGTTCAGTGAGAGTTGGCTGCTCATATTTAACTTACTGGCCGAAGGTCATCCAGCCAGCTTCCGTGGCACAGCAGGGATCTGATGCTGGGTGTCCCAGAACCTAGTCTGGCCGTCTAATGAAGGACTCAGACGAGACACGATCTCTGAGGGTAGAAGCACCGGCCTGCCCTTTGAGAGCAAGGGAAACCAGATGCTCAGGCAGAATGCCTGGAATGCTTGCATAGCATAATTATCAGTGATAACAAGCTACCCCTGGTGCCTACAATGCCTGCAGTGATAAGATGGGCAAAGGTCAGGATTAGTGTACCAAAGTCACTGCTCTACCTTATGTTAACAGAGGCAGGATGTAGTGGGATCAAGACTGGTGTGCCGTATCGTTAATCCTCCCTACAGTCTAAACACCTGACATCGCGCTGGCTCTCTCTCGGTTGTCTTTCCATGTTGTCCTCGTTTCTCTGAGCTTTCTCAAGTTGGTTCAAAGGCAGTTTGAGAAAGCACCAAACAACAACAGATAGAGAAAAAGGACATGTGGAAACTCAGGGAAAAAACTGCTGCAGGCCAGGCACCCAAAGAGTGGGGAAACTGCCACATGCAGGGAAACCCCCCCCCAAAAAAAAAAATGCCCCTGCTTTCCCAAAACTTCAGGGTATTGGACAGCCCCTCTCCCACATCTGTCTTTCCTAATGTGGTGCCTACTGTGGGCAACTTGTCTTAGTATCAGACGATGATGAAATTAAATAATTTGATCCATCAAACTAATCCTCTCTGATCTCTGTAAATCGGATGGAGAGTCTTGTATCAAGATCATGGGGACAGAGTGAGAAGGCGAGCAGCCTAGTGCAATCTCCCCCCCCCCCGCTCCAAGATCGAGGAACAGCTTTGCAGGGCCTTTAAAACAGAGCTGTTCCGCCAGGCCTTTGGTTGAGGCAAGAGGGCATCTGCCAGCTGGCCACTCCGTTGCTGCTGCGTGAGACCATGCTGGCGCAGTGCTGTGGCCCTCTCGATTCCTGGCCGTGAAAGCTGAAATTGAATATACTGCACTGCCCACTTTAAAACTGGGTTTATATTGGTTTTATTGTATTGATTTAATATTATTTATTATCTGATTGAATTATTTTAGAAAGTGAAATGAAAGCTGCACTCAAATCAATTGGGAGAAACAAATCACCATGAATAGATGGAATATCCACAGAGTTATTTCAAGCCGGAGAAGAAGAATGCATCAGAATACTAACAAGAATATGCTAACAAATATGGAAAACAAAATAATGGCCCTCAGATTGGACACATTCAATCTACATTTCAATTCCAAAAAAAAGGAGGCGTCAAAGACTGCAACAACTATCAGACCACTGCATTAATTTCTCAAGCAGGTAAAGTGATACTCAAAATCTTACAACAAAGACTGTTACCATACATAGAATGAGAAATGCCAGATGTTCAAGGTCGATTCAGAAAAGGAACTAGAGATCATATTGCAAATTTATGTGGATTACTGGAGCATACCAGAGAATTTCAGAAGAAAATCAGTTTGTGTTTCATAGATTACAGCAATGTTTTTGACTGTGTGGATTATGAACCTGCCAACAAAAGTCCGCATGGTCAAAGCAATGGTATTCCCAGTAGTCATGTATGGCTGCGAGAGTTGGACTATAAGGAAGGCTGAGCGCCGAAGAATAGATTCTTTTGAACTATGCTGCTGGAGAAGACTCTTAAGAGTCCCTTGGACTGCAAGAAGATCAAATCAGTCAATCCTAAAAGAAATCAACCATGACTGTTCCCTGAAAGGCCAGATAATGAAACTGAAGCTCAAATACTTTGGCCACCACATGAGAAGGGAGCACTCACTGGTGGAGAAGACCCTGATGCTGGGAAAGATTGAAGGTCAAAGAAGACGGGGACTGCAAAGGATGAGATGGTGAGACAGTGTCATAGATGCAACGGACATGAAACTGAGCAAACTTCAGAGGACAGCGGAAGACGGGAGGGCCTAGCATGATCTGCGACTGAACAACAACAATTATGAAAAGCTGTGGTTGTGCCACAGCATCTGATTGTTTTAATGCGCAACTGGTACTCTGGAAAAGAGGCTACTGTTAAAATGGAATATGGAGAAACATGGTGGTTTCCAATGGGCAAAGGTGTCAGACAAGGTTGTATTTTATCTCCCTATGTCTTCAATCTAAATAAGGAAAACTAGATTAGATTTCAATGGAAGTGGAGGGAAAATTGGTGAAAGAATAACATGACATTACTGGCAAAAAACAGTGAAGACTTGAAATGACAACCAATGAAGGTTAAAGCAGAAACTGCCAAAGCAGGATTACAGCTGAATATCAAGACGGCAAAAGTAATGACTGCTGAGAAATTATACAACTTTAAGGTTCACGATGAAGAGACTGAAATTGTTAAAGATTTTCTATTCCTTGACTCCGAAAGAGAAACCGCAACTAAAAATCAGGACACTTGAGACTGGGAAGGGCAGCCATGAAGAAGCTAGAAAAAGATCCTTAACTATAAGGGTGTGTCTCTGGTGACCAAGATAATTCATAGTATACTATGTATGGGCAGGGCTATTCTTGGGCAGGAACCCACAGGAACGGAGTTCCGGCTGGCTTCAGAGTTGGTCACGCCCACTACAGCCAAATCCTCTGCTTGCGTGTCTACAGAGGGAAGGCCTGGAGAGTGACCACCACCACCCCGGCGACTCCGAGGCGGGCAGGCCAGGGGGCCCCCTGGAAGGATCGGGGAGGTATTTAAATGCCTCCCCGTGCCTTCCCCAGCCTGTCCAAGGGCCGGCTTGCCCAGGCTCCCCACAGCCACGGGGCGCCCAGGCAAGCCAAGGGAAGACATGGGGGTGTGGCCTAATATGCCAATGAGTTTCTGCTATTGGGTGCGGCCTATTATGCTAATGAGTTCCTGCTGGGCTTTTTCTACAAAAAAAGTCCTGTGTCTGGGTATGAAAGCTGGACAGTGAAGAACACTTACAGGAAGAAAGCTGATTCATTTGAAATGTGGTACTGTTGGAGAGTTTCACAGATACCATGGATTGCCAAAAAGACACATGAGTGGATTCTAGGTCAAACCAATCCTGAAGTCTCCCTAGGACAGGGGTGGCGAACAAGTTCGACAAAAAGAGCCAAAATTTTAAACTGTGAGAGTCAGAGAGCCACACCATGCAGTGACCTGCCAAAACAGACAAACACTCACACAAAAGCATATACTTTTAACAATGACGCCCCGAGGAACTCCCCACACCCTGACCTACCGGCCGACGCCAGCGCCGAAGACCGGGAGAGGGAGGCAGCGCCCCAACGCCGAACCTCCCCAGAAGACGCCCGGCTGCACGAGACGACCGCAGGACGCGCTCAGGCGCGGGGGCGAGAGCCCCGGCCCGAGATGCGTGACAGAAGCTGCGACAGGGGAGCAGGGCCGGCGGCGCGGCCTCAACGGCGACCGGATGACAGGGAGCGCGTGTCCGGTGGGCGTCTACCCGGCGGCGCGCGTCTCCTCTGTTAAAGGGGGGCGGGGCCGGGAGTGGAAAAAAAGGAAAGAGAGACGGAGCGTGCCAGAGGTCGTGCGGGAGTGTCGGCAGAGGGGCGCTCGGGGTGACGTCAACCCCGCCCCCTGCCATTCTGAGGTCCTCTTCTACCCCGTCTTTTCCAAACCCTCGCCTCCAGAGCCACGCCGCTCCTCACGGGGCCCACTCACGTCGTGCCACAACGGCCACTGGGGCGCCACCCCCAAGACCAAGGAGGAACGCGACAGAGCCACAATATACAAAATGATGATAAGAGGCAAAGAGCCGCATTAATTTTGGTCGGGAGCCGCATGCGGCTCTAGAGCCACGTGTTCGCCACCCCTGCCCTAGGAGGTAAAACTGAGGCTATTGTAACGTGCTCACATTATGAGAAGGCAAGACTCAGTGGAAAAGACAATAATGCTAGGAAAAGTTGAAGGTCGCTGGAAAAGAGGAAGACCCAACAGGAGATGGAGGGATTCAGTCGAGGAAGCCACAAAGGCCCCCTCCGTCTGCAAGACGTGATCAATACTGTTGATCAGGGCTCTTTTTGTAGAAAAAGCCCAGCAGGAACTCATTAGCATAATAGGCCACGCCCAACAGCAGGAACTAATTAGCATATTAGGCCACACCCCTGCCAACACAGCTCATTAGCACATTAGGCCGCACCCCCATGTTACCAGAAGTGTGGTCATCCAGCCACACCCACCTTTTGCTTCTTATTCTGTTTACCTTGTTTGTTGTCAAAACCCAGGGCCTTTTTTTGTAGAAGGAACTCCTTTGCATGTTAGGCCACACACCTCTAATGTAACCGATCCTAATGAGTTTCTGCTGCTGGGTGTGGCCTATTATGCTAATAAGTTCCTGCTGGGCGTGGCCAGCTCGGGAGCCAGCCGGAACTCCGTTCCTGTGCGTTCCTGCCCCAAAATAGCCCTGCTGTTGATGATGATACTGTTAGCAGAGTAGCTAACACAGCAATGGTGCACAACCTGATTAAAGAGTAGATAAAGGTTTATTAAGGAACTAACATGCTTGATAGTAAAGAGGAGAGATAGAGGTAAGGTCCTAACTACATCTCTAGCCAAGAGAGAGAGTAAAACCATATGTGGAACTTCTGAGAAAAAGGAGGAAATTGCCCTTAAGAGTAGCAATCTCGAGACAAATAACGAATGACACTTAACACAAGAGAGAAGGTGCAGACCTCACTATCCTCTCTAATTGTCTTCTTACTGCTCTTTCAGGGTCTTTTCCAACAGACAAGACATTTTGAAGGTCATTAATTCATCGGGAAGTGCACGCACACGCACACACTCAAGGGTTTGGTTAGCCCCGTAAGAAGCAGCGTGGAGTGCCAAGGGTGGTGGCAGAACTCAGTTGTCACCCCCAGAACAGTGACCTTTTGCCATGGCACCATCTCACAGCCACGTCTGGGGGAGCTGAGGCATACTTTACCCCACAGCGTAGGCGATTTGGCTGCACTGCAATTAGGTTTCCCTTTTGGGTCCCGGACGTCCTGCGCTGCCACCTCATCGTCGACACGTTGCAGGAGTCACGTCGACCTCGGACATCCTCCACTTCTGCATCAGTCACTGAATCACAACCAGAATCTAAGCAAGAGTACAAAGAATAAAGTTATTTCTGTGATCTCAACGGCTGGTTAGTTATTGGGCATGGGAGGTCCTTGAGAAGGAAGTTGAACGTGTCTTGGGTTTCTGAAAAAGAACATGCCAGTCATTAGAAATAAGTGTTTTCTGTACAATCAAGGAGAGATTCTGCTGATGTCCTTGCAACTGGAATAGGACAAGCCCTCCTGACTGTGTGGAGCTATGGACGCTACTAAGCAAGGACCAACTGCCCTGAGGACCCTGTTTGGGTGGGAAACTGGCATATAAATGTGTTAAATAAATAAATATTGTGACTCAAGTGCTCTGCTCCCTTACTACAGCTAAAACACTTGTATTACAGCATTGGAGATAAATGCTTCTCTCCTGTAGATCAATGGATTGAGGACCTTACAACTTTTTCAATATTTGAATGCATGGCATATAGACAAAAATTGCGTATAGATTTCTTTTTAGCTATTTGGAAATCTTTTATAGGCTGCAGTCACACGGTGCATTAGCCACGCTACAGAGATGGAAGATAGGCGGATTTTCCGGGCGCTATCACAGCGCCACATCTGGGAAGCGTAGAGCTCCCGTGGCGAACCCGAGGCTTCCCGCCGAAGATGCGGGGTAAAAAACTAGTACCTCCAAGGTACTAGTTTCCGGAAACCACGGGGCAAGGGCGGGCGCCTGATCGCGTTTCCGGTGGTAGGTCGTGGCATCCGGCACCCGCCCATGTCCCGTCGCTAAAAGGTGTGTTTTTTTCCAAGTCTCCATGGGATGCACACAAGCACTCAACAAACAACACAGCCCCTCCTCTTTTCTGCCCCCCCCCCCCACTCCTGGCTCGGCCTGCTCGAGAGAAACTCTCTGCACCGGGCGGCAGAGGGGGAGGTGCAGGGGGGGCGTGGCGGGAGGGCTGCGCGGCTGAAGCTCCTCCTGGAGGGGACCGGATGCCGCTTCTTTGCCATGAGGCAGGATTGTCCTGTGATTGGCACCTCCCCCTTAACCATGGGACCTCAACAGGAGGTCTGATCGTGCAGCCGTGCCGTTATTTTGCTCCGGGGCAAACAGCCACGCTTCCCCCCGCATTTTCCTGCCTGTGTATGTTTAACACCTAACCAAAAATAAAAAAAAGAAAACACAAAAACCATTCACTAGACGCTTCAAATGAGTTGAACAAAGTTTGAGTCCAGTGGCACCTTTAAGACCAACAAAGTTTTATTCAAGGTATAAGCATTTGTGTGCTTTTGAATAAAACTTCTGCTTGTCTAAAACTTTGATTTTCCTGCCTTTGTGACCGGGGCCCTTGAAACTTATTTGTTAGGAGGAGAAGACGATACAAGGACTTGTAGCACACTTATCCACACTCTATTTCATAAGGGAAGGTGAAGAGTTCATGGACAGAATGCATGAAGCACTCTTGAGAGGGCAACAGGGGGAGGAGGAGAAGGTATCTCAGGAAATGGAGGAGCACCAAACAAAAGAAGAAGACATGTGGAAAAATGTAACCCACAGGAGCAGGAACATCAGGAGGCATTCTCACCCTCTCTCGCTAAGCAATCAATTCCAGGATTTCCCCATAGATATTGATTCTGGACTATATGTAACCTATCACTAAATTAAGCCACTGTACCAGAAAACTGGAGAGTAGCAAATGTTACACCATTTTTTAAAACAAAGAATCCAGAGGGAAACCAAGAAATTACAAGTCAGTATACATTCCAATCCCAAAGAAGGGCAATGCCAAGGAATGCTCAAACTATCGCACAATTGCACTCATATCACACGCTAGCAAGGTCATGCTCAAGATCCTACAAGCTAGGCTTCAACAGTATGTGGATAGAGAACTGCCAGAAGTACAAGCTGGGTTTCGAAGAGGTAGAGGAACTAGAGATCAAATTGCCAACATTCGCTGGATTATGGAGAAAGCAAGAGAGTACCAGAAAAAGATCTACTTCTGCTTCATTGACTATGCTAAAGCCTTTGACTGTGTGGATCACAACAAACTATGGCAGGTCCTTAAAGAGATGGGAGTACCAGACCACCTCACATGTCTCTTGAGAAACCTGTATAAGGGCCAAGAAGCGACAGTTAGAACCGGATATGGAACAACTGATTGGTTTCGCATAGGAAAAGGAGTACTTGCTTATTTAATATATATGCAGAGTACATCATGCGAAATGCTGGCCTAGATGAATCACAAGCAGGAATTAAGATTGTGGGGGGAAAGATCAACAACCTCAGATATGCAGACGATACCACTCTGATGGCAGAAAGTGAAGAGGACCTCAAGAGCATCTTGATCAGGGTAAAAGAGGAGAGCGCAAAAGTGGGCTTGAAGCTCAACATCAAAAAAACTAAGATCATGGCATCCGGCCCCATCACTCCTTGGCAAATAGAAGGGGAAGTCGTGGAAGTAGTGACAGACTTCACGTTCCTGGGATCCCAGATCACCGCAGACTGTGACTGCAGCCATGAAATTAAAAGACGCCTGCTCCTTGGGAGGAAAGCGATGGCGAACCTAAACAGCATGATAAAAAGTAGAGACATCACCCTGCCAACAAAAGTCCGCATGGTCAAAGCAATGGTATTCCCAGTAGTCATGTATGGCTGCGAGAGTTGGACTATAAGGAAGGCCGAGCGCAGAAGAATAGATTCTTTTGAACTATGGTGCTGGAGAAGACTCTTGAGAGTCCCTTGGACTGCAAGAAGAACAAATCAGTCAATCCTCAAAGAAATCAACCCTGACTGTTCCCTGGAAGGCCAGATAATGAAACTGAAGCTCAAATACTTTGGCCACCAAATGAGAAGGGAGCACTCACTGGAGAAGACCCTGATGCTGGGAAAGATTGAAGGTCAAAGAAGACGGGGACGGCAAAGGATGAGATGGTTAGACAGTGTCATCGATGCAACGAACATGAAGTTGAGCAAACTTCAGAGGATGGCGGAAGACCGGAAGGCCTGGAGGGAGCTGGTCCATGGGGTCGCAAAGAGTCGGACTCGACTGTGCGACCGAACAACAACAAGACTGAACAACAACAGCCTAACATCTGTCCCAAGCAAATTAATTAAAACTGTAATCAAAGATAGAATTGTCAGGCATATTGAAGGACAAAGCCTGCTGAGGGAAAATCAGCATGGCTTCTATAAAGGGAAGTCCTGCCTCACCAACCTTTTGGAGTTCTTTGAGAAAGTGAACAAGCATGTAGACAGTGGTGACCTGGAAGACATTATGTACTTGGACGTTGAAAAGGTTTCTGACTAGGTACCTCACCAAAGACTCCTGAGTAAATTAGAAGTCATGAGATAAGAGGATGGGTTTTCTTATGGATTAAAAAGTGGTTAAATGACAGAAAGCAAAGAGCAGGAATAAATGGACAATTCTCACAATGGAGAAAAGCAAGCAGTGAGGTCCCACAAGGATTGGTATTTGGGGCAGTACTATTTAATTTACTCATAAATGATCTGGAACTAGTGGTTAGTCATAGAATCATAGAATGTTAGAGTTGGAAGGTACCTTGCAGGTCATCTAGTCCAACCCCCTGCACTCTGCAGGAGCATAGCTAAAAGATAGCTCTACATACCTACAACATACCCGAAAGATGGTCGTCCAGCCTCCGCTTGAAAACGTCCAGTGAAGGAGCATCCACCACCTCCTGAGGCAGACTGTTCCAATGCTCAACCACTCTTACAGTTAGGAAGTTTCTCCTGATATTTAGCCAGTAACGACTCCCTTGTAATTTCCACCCATTAGATCTAGTCTTGCAATCCGGAGCAAGAGAGAAGAGATCTGCTCCATCTTCTAGATGACAGCCCTTCAAATACTTGAAGACTGCAATCATGTCCCCTCTAAACCTTCTCTTTCCCAGGCTAAACATACCCAACTCTTTCAGGCTTTCCTCATAAGACGTGGATTCCAACCCTCTCACCATCCTGGTTGCCCTCTTCTGGACATGCTCGAGCTTGTCAACATCTTTCCTAAAATGTGGTGCCCAAAACTGGACACAGGACTCCAGGTGAGGCCTGACCATAGCAGAATAGAGTGGAACTACCACCTCCCTCGATCTGGACACAGTGCTTCTGTTAATGCATCCTAAGATTGCATTAGCTTTCTTCACAGCCGCATTGCACTGCAGGCTCATGTTTAGCTTGTGATCAACCAGAACACCTAGATCCCTTTCACATGTGCTGCTGTCAAACCAAGTCCCTCCCATTCTATATCTGTGCCTGTGATTTTTTGTACCTAAGTGTAGGACTTTGCACTTATCTCTATTGAAATTCATTTTATTTGTCTCAGCCCACTGTTCCAGCGTATCTAGATCATTTTGAATCCTGACTCTGTCTTCTTCAGAATTAGCAATCCCACCCAGCTTCGTGTCATCTGCAAATCTGATAAGCATCCCCTCTATGTCTTCCTCCAGGTCATTTGTAAAAACATTGAACAACACCGGACCTAGGACTGAGCCCTGCGGCACTCCACTCGAGACTTCCCTCCACGTAGACACAGAGCCATTTACGAGCACTCGTTGGGTATGATTTTTCAACCAACCATGAATCCATCCAACGGTTGTACCATCCAGACCACACTTAACCAGCTTATCCTCAAGGATATCGTAAGAAACTTTGTCAAATACTTTGTTGAAATCTAGATACACTATATCCACAGCATTGCCAGAGTCACCATTTTAGTAACTCTGTCAAAAAAGGAGATAATGTTGGTCTTGCATGACTTATTCTTGATGCCCTCGTCATCCCCGTTTGCGGCCCCTGTGCTTTTCAGGAAGAAAAAGGACGGGGGGTTGAGACTCTGCTCTGACTATAGAGGCTTGAATATGGTCTCCACTATGAATGCTTACCCTCTCCCCTTCATCAAGGACCTCTTGGCCAAGGCGGCTAAGGGGAAAAATCTTTTCCAAACTTGATCTCTGGGATGCATATTTCAGGGTGAGGATTAAGGAGGGGGACGAGTATAAGACTACATTTAACACTCCACTGGGCCA